TGAAACCTATACACAATATTCATTACCACAAAACTAAGATCAAGTACAAATTTTTTTGTGGCCTTCGGCTGTTGTCTGCTCTATGGTCGGGTTGTTATCTCTTTGACACATTCCCCATTTCCATTCTCAATTTTATTTTTGTTTCCGTTTTCTAACTTTAGTTTGCCTCAACCAAATTTTATGAAACTTATACACAATGCTTATTACTACATAATACAGATTAAGTACGAAATTTGGTGGCATCACTTTTACCATTCTTGAGTTATGTCCCTTTATAAACATAAAAATTGCTGAATTTTTCGTTTCCATTTTCTAACTTTAGTTTGTCTCAACCAAATGTTATAAAACTTGTACACAACCGTAAGAGTTGTGAGTGTTTACAAATAGAAAAATTGCTGAATTTTTAGTTTCTGTTCTCTCCTTAAGTTAGCCTCAACCAAATGTTATGAGACTTACACACAATGCTTATTACCACAAAACTCAGATCAAGTTCAAATTTGGGTAGGGTCTCTTTTACCATTCTTCATTTATGTCCCTTTATAATTATATGATATGCAAGCGGGGGCATCATCTGTGTCCACATGTGGACACTATCCACATTTATTAGTTACTTTGATAGTAAAGTCAAGGAAATGATTAAAATCAACAAATTAAATATACCCCTGAAATAGCAATTTTCTCCAACCAGGAAAATTGATGACAAAGACAATAGATTTATCCACAGTAACCAAATGTTTTAATCTTGGGGTTGCTCATCCTTTTTCATTTTTGTCTCTCCTTGGTAAAGCCATACAGGCAAGACCTACACAACATAGGCTTGCTTTTTCTTGTATAACATTGGTTAATGTCAGCAATTGATAAATTTTTTGATTAGATTGATATTTGTCTGATATTGGGAAGGCAGTGTTTTTTACAATTAGCACATCTCATTTCCATGGAGAATATTTTCCCCAACCATCTCAGTCATGGTCCATTGACTTTTAAACTTTTGCATAGTTTACATGTTACAGTACTGAGGTGAAGCATTTCTGTCTCAACAGTTTATTAAAAGGAAAATATGGCATTTACCAATTCTCAGAAGTGAACAGAAGAATTTGAAGTCTTTCCTATGTATACCTTAAGTGTCTACATTCAAGAGTCAGGTGTAAGGTCTAATTTTAATGTGTGTAAGTGCTCATTAGAAATGAATATCTTGAATTTTTTATACGACCACAAAAAATTTTGCAGTCGTATATTAATATCACGTCGTCAGCAGCGTCGTCCGAAGACATTTGGTTTCCGGACAATAACTTTAGTAAATGTAAATAGAAATCTAAGTAATTTAAACACAAGGTTTATAACCACAAAAGAAAGGTTGGGATTGATTTTGGGGGTTATAGTCCTAACAGTTTAGGAATTAGGGGCCAAAAAAGGGCCCAGATAAGCATTTTTCTAGTTTCCAGACAATAACTTGTGGAACAGTGTATGGATCTCTCTGAAATTATACCACAAGTTTCCATACCACAAAGGGATGGTTAGGATTGGCTTTGGGGGGTTATGGCTCAAACCGTTTAGGAATTAGGGGCAAAAAAGGGGGGAAAAACAAGGGTTTCCTGGTTAATGGACAATTAAAAAAAAGTTTGTGTAAAATAGCTATCAGAGTGCTCACAAACATGTTTAAACCCACCACATGCTTTATGTGTCTGTTACAAACCAATTAAAAGCCTGTAAATCAGTGGTTGTTGTTGGTTGCTGTCAGTTTAATAACTGTTTTTTGTATGTTATATATATATTAGGTCCTTGGTTTTCTGTTTTGAATGATATTAATCTTTTTTTTCATCCCTTTTATTGCTTAATATACAATATGGGTTTTGCTCATTGTTGAAGGTTGTATATGTGCATTGACCCGTAATTGCTATTAACACCTTGTCCTTTGCCTTTGGTCTTGATGGGTTAGTTTTCTCATTGGTAATATATCATACCACATCTCTTTCATTATAAATATATATTTTTTATAAAAGTAGATACTTTAAGGGAAAAAATGAAAAGAAGGAGTGTTTGTGTTATTGTCTTACTACAAAACAAAGTAGTGTTTCAGAAGTAAATTTTCAGAGATTAAGTTATTATTATGTTACCACTGTAAAGGTGGGGTATATTGCAATCACATTGTCTGTCCATCCAACTGTTTGTCCATACTTTAGTCCAACAATATTTTCTTCACACACTTTTCTAATCATGCTAATGAACCACTAAACAGAACAACTGAATATTTGGTCAGCAGCCTTTAACATGCAGTGATAAGTTCCAATGTGTGAGCACTTTTCAGATCTGTCAGATATATTCTGCCTGTTTGCCAATACTTTAAATATTTAGACATTTTGAATGAATTTTGAAATTTATAGTCACACGTTTCTCCAGTACTGCATGCTAAACAGAATGACTTCATATTTGATCATCAGCTTTTTAATAATTAAGAAATTATTCTTTCATGCCATGCTCTATGCTCATTTTAACATGGATAGGCATTATATTTGTCAATATCTTTATACCGAGCTTCAGTGAGGTGTAAAATGTTGACAAATATTACTAGAGGCTCTCAAGAGCCTGTGTCGCTCACCTGATTCTACTTTGGTTTTGGAAATCATGAAAAAATAGATTAAAATCATAACAGATACCATACTTGGTTGATGGGTCAGCTTCAAAGTAGCAACACTTGTTCAGCACCTCATAAGGATCATTCATGCCATGCTTGGTTTCATTCCATTCAGTGGTTCTCTAAAAGAAGACATTTGCATGTATTGTCCATAGGGTCCTATGTTAAACTAAGTCCCCCGCTGGCGGCCATCTTGGATGATTGATCACCTACAAAGTTACAACTCTTGGTCAGCACCTCAAAAGGAACATTCATGCCATGTTTCAGGGTTTCATTTCATTTAGTGGTTTTCTAAAAGAAGACATTTGTATGTATTTCCCATAGGGTCTTATGTTAAACTAAGTCCCTCTCTGGCGGCCATCTTGAATGATGGATCAGCTTCAAAGTAGCAACACTTGTTCAGCACCTCATAAGGAACATTCATGCCATGTTTGGTTTCATTCCATTCAGTGGTTTTCTAAAAGAAGACATTTGTATGTATTTCCCATAGGGTCCAATGTTAAACGAAGTCCCCTGCTGGCGTCCATCTTGGAAGATGGATCGGCTACAAAGTAACACTTGGTCAGCACCTCATAGGGAACATTCATGCCATGTTTAGTTTCATTCCATTCAGTGGTTCTCTAAAAGAAGACATTTGTATGTATTGTCCATAGGGTCCTATTTTAAACTAAGACCCCTGCTGGCGGCCATCTTGGATGATGGATCGGCTACAAAGTAACAACACTTGGTCAGCACCTCATAAGGAACATTCATGCCATGTTTGGTTTCATTCCATTATGTGGTTCTCTAGAAGAAGTTCAAAATGTAAAAAGTTAACGACGATGGACGACGACGGACGACGACGGATGCCTAGTGATGAGAAAAGCTCACTTGGCCCTTTGGGCCAGATGAGCTAAAAATGAGCATAGAGCATGGCATGATAGAATTATTATTAGGAAAATTTATAACTTTTGTACTTCAAAGCGGGCTTATAAGACACGTTCAAAAGGCAGCCATTTTGATTTTATAAAGCCAAAACGATATAGAAATTAAACCGTTCCCGCTAAAAAATTAACAGATACACAATGTACATGTAGACTTACTTTTAGGATGATTTTATTTAATTTTCTAGCGAGCAACAATTAACAACACAAATGTCCCTTTTTGTTCTCCAGGTTTGTTCAAAATACAACTGACAATATCAGTTGTGATGTCAATCAATTGCAGTCCATGTTCTATTGTAATTAGAACATGGCTTTGTTCCCTAGGCAAAAGAAGAACATCATATTAGAATTGAATGAATTGTAACGTGTCAGTGCTTTTTAGATCACTGAAGGGATACCTTCTTCCTGTTTGCCAATACTTTAAAAATTTTCAACATGTTGAATAAAACCAATATATTTGTCACACTTTAATTTTCTGAGAAAAAAACTGAAGAGGATGACTGTTTTTAGCAAGTAGCTTGACAGTGATGAGTTGTAGCTTGTTATCTTTTTTGATCTGTCTGAATCCTACTTAATTCCTGGTTTCCCACTCTTTGAATTGTGAGTGGGGGGCAGACATGCTTAGCAAGACAATATGTGCATTCTTGTTTAAATTTTGGAATAGATAGAAAAATAAATCTGCAGTTGTGAATAAAAAAAAGATTATCAGTATAATATGCAGTAGAAAGAATATTTTCATTTCAAAGAAATTGCATGCAAATAAGTTTTAATTAATTTCAGATACTGTAAATTCAGAAATGATTGCCAGGTTTGGGGATAAAAAAAAAACCTTATAATGGTACTGACTTGATATCTGATTCTTCCAAGTTTTATCACTACCTTTCATAGTTCAAACAAAAATTTAAATAGTGCAGTAAAGTGATCATTCTTTAGGTCCTATCCACTTAATGTCAAGCAATTTATTAATGGTACATGTATGTTATACTTAGATATTCAAGTTACAATAATATGTATATTTGAATTGCCATACTTATCAAGAAGAATTGTCTTTATTAAAATTTACATAAGTAAAGCATGGTGTATGAATCTGTGACAAAAATAGGTTCAACTACAAATGTACAATCATGAACAAAGGAAGATACCTCCAACTAAAATTTATAATTTGCCTAGCTAAATACAATTCATTGTTTTATTTTAAATTCACAAAATTGAAAAATGAAAGCACTTTGATTATTATTGCCAATAATGTGACTGGCTACATGAGAAATGCAATAATAAGAACTCATATTCTTAAATCTGATACATATATAAGTAGGCAGATATTCCTGAAATCGCAATACTTAAACTCGCATTTTTGTCCTTCCTTAAAAAAAAATTACAATAATAAATGCACAAATAATTTCTGAATTTACAGTAATCGGTTAATTACATTTTATATTTAATAGGTGTGATAGTAATGGACAATTTCAGAAGAAGCAGTGTTTAGATTCACATGGAATATGCTGGTGTGTGCATTCAAATGGAACAAAAATAAAAGGTTCAAATGTAAGGGGAAACCCAGACTGCTCAAAAGGTATTTAGCACTGTATTTATCCTTGCATTTTATAACAAGTGTAAGCTTTTAAAAAAAGCATGCTTAAATCAGTTGGGGCAATATGCGCAATTGTTTCTCCATAGGCGGTAATGGTAACGTTTTCTTCTGTAGCTCAGTCCATATCGTAAACTTGGATATGTATGATGGCTCGTTTTGAAACTCAGACATTTTCACATATGTGGTTAAATTTTCGGGGTACGAAGTGTGATTCATTTTTCCGTAAATTAGCATACCCCGAAAATCCTTTCGTGATGCGGCTCTTCCTGGTAAAAAATCCCTTTTTTCACACAATAAATTCTTTGAAAATTTAATACTTTGAATACATTTAATAACTCCATAGTTTTTACACATTTATTCTATGGTCCTCTACTTTCCAAATCAACACAAATGGTTAAGCTCAGTCACTTGTTAAAAATAGAAACATGTCCAATATCGCTACACAGAGATTTTTTGTTTACACAGAAATTTTGTGTTCCTCAATTTGAGGCGAGTTAGGGATATTGACCCAGTTGTTTGGTTTTAATTTCTAATAATAGATATTAGATGATTATTTGCATTTTACCCTTATGTTCTATTTATAGAAGCAAAACAGAAAAAAAGACAAACAAAAGTGGATAGAGAGAAACTAAAAAATCAAAATCAATAAAAATGCAAATTCAAAACAAGAATCCTTTCAATGGTCTGTAAAACCTGTGATAATTTACTAAGTTGAAGGCCACTAAATTGACTTTTAGGTGGGGCTTGGAAGACTTTTTATGCCCCCGCAGTAGTGGAGGGGCATTAAGTTTTACCCTTGTTTGTATGTGCGTCCATCTGTCCGTACATCCGTCTGTAAGTCCCAAAGTTGGTTTCTGTATCTGACTTTAGTTTGCCTCTCCCAAATATAATGAAACTTATACACAATGCTTATTACCACAAAACACAGATCCAGTTTGAACTTTGGTGGGGTCACTTTCACCGCTCTAGAGTGATGCCCCTTTATAAAAATTGGAAACATTGCTGAATTTTTAGTTTCCGTTCTGTAACTTTAGTTTGCCTCAACCAAATGTTATGAAACTTATACACAATGCTTATTACCACATAAACAGATCAAGTTTGAATTTTGGTGGTGTCACTTTAACAGTTCCAGAGTTATGCCCGTTTACAAATGGAAAAATTACTGAATTTTTCATTTCCGTTCTTGTACTTACGTTTACCTGAACCAAATGTGAAACTTATACACAATGCTTATTACCACAAAATACAGATCAAGTTTGAATTTTGGTGACATCATTTTTACTGTTCTAGAGTTATGCCCCTTTACAAATGGAAAAATTGCTGAATTTTTTGTTTCTGTTCTCTAACTTAAGTTTGCCTCAACCAAATGTTATGATACTTATTACCACAAAACTCAGATCAAGTACAAATTTGGGTAGCTTCACTTTTACCGTTCTTACATGTCCCTTTAAAACTATATATGATCTGCATGCAGGGGCTTTATCTGTGTCCCATGGACACATTCCCCATTTATTTATCCAGATTTCATTCTGACAGAAGTTGAAAAAAATATCAAAATGACATATTTTTTAATGGCCTCTAGATTATTGATTCAAAATCAAAACAAATTGTTCTAATCCCTTGAGCTCAGCTATATTAGATATAGATATATTTTGATGGAACAAAACAAGTACTGTAAACTCAGAAATTATTGCGAGGTTATTATTATTGTGAATAATGCGACTATTTGAGTTTCGTAATAATAAGAACTCTGATATCAAATACATATATCTGTATGTAGCTTTTCCTAAAATCGCAATAATTAAAATTGCATTTTTGTTTATTCTTCGAAAATCGCAATAATAAATGCACGCAATAATTTCTGAATTTACAGTATTCAGTTATAAAACAAATGTTAAACAGCATTTAATGTGTTATATTTTCATTAGCAACAAGATCAGGAAGTTGTCCTAATCCTAGTCAATGGACCATGATGGATTTATTAGATGATGGCTGCACGTCTGATGATGATTGTTCTGGATCTGATGATAAATGCTGTTTTAATGGATTAGGGTACCAGTGTGTGCCACCAGATGGCATGCTTACTAGTGAGTATTTAAACGGTGATGGTTGCCAGTATGACCATTGCTATTATTTTAGAGAAATATTTACATTTATGAGTTAAGGGTACCTGTGTTTATCACCAGATGATGTGCACAAATATGTGGAGTAGTGAGTATTTATTAGGTATTGGCATCCTAACATGTGGGTATTTAATAAGCTTTCAACTGTTTTTTTACTGCTTAGAAGTTTCCTCCTAGACAGACATTGGGAGCTAACAGAGGTTCTTTAATTTTGAAAGTCTTCTTTTGTTTATGAAAACTCTATAGTAAGTTGTTTTGTAAATCCAAAAGAAGTTTTAACGTTACATTTAGTAGGACCCTATCTGCTAGTTCACAAGAACAGTACTAGTGTTTTCCTTTAGTTATTGCTCTATCCATTTATCAGTCCATTGGACATCACTTCTCTATTTTGTACCATAAGTCAAGATTGGCTCAACCAATTTCCATAATTTTTATGCACATTGTTTATATCTACAAAAGGAACATAAATTGGGGTAAAATGTAGATTTTGGCTTATATCTCTGAAACCAAAGCATTTAGAGCAAATCTGACAGGGGTTAAATTGTTTATCAGGTCAAGATCTATCTGCCCTGAAATTAACAAATGAATCTGACAACCCGTTGTTGGGTTGCTGCCCCTGAATTGGTAATTTTAAGGAAATTTTGCCGTTTTTGGTTATTATCTTGAATATTATTATAGATAGAGATAAACTGTAAACAGCAATAATGTACAGCAAAGTAAGATCTACAAATAAGTCAACATGACCAAAATTGTCAATTGACCCCTTAAGGAGTTATTGCCCTTTATAATCAATTTTTTACAATTTTCATAAATTTTGTAAATTTTTGTAAATTTTTACAAAATATTTTCCACTGTAACTTCTGGGCCAATTTCATTATAGATAGAGATAATTGTAAGCAGCAAGAATATTCAGTAAAGTAAGATCTACAAACACATCACCATCACCAAAACACAATTTTGTCATGAATCCATCTGTGTCCTTTGTTTGATATGCACATAGACTAAGGTGAGCGACACAGGCTCTTTAGAGCCTCTAGTTATGTTATTTCTTCATAGACAGAAAAAATATTACAGTCATTCCTTAAATATTAAATATTTTGTGGTACAAACTAAGATTTTGTTAAATAATTGCAAATTTTGAGAACATCTTCATGTATTATGATTTCAACAAAAATTGATATATAGGTAAAATATTGAATTTCAAATTGGTTCCTGGTGTCATCAATTATCCATCAGGTGCCATTTTCAAAATGGCTGTGAAAACACATATAAAAAGTAATATTTTATCAAACATTTATGTCCTCATGCAACATTTCCTGAATTAATTCCTGTTGTCAAAATTTACTAAAAAATTGACATCCCATGAACTGTTTGCATCAGTATTAAATATTTGTTGTGTCTTGTGCAAGGGGAGCCCTTGTTGACATGTCAGTTCTATAATCTTAATGTTTTAATTCCGGTTTAAAAACTAGTAGGTGCATTGAAGGTTTGTGATGAACCTGATACCATTTTATCCTAAAGTTTATGTTTTCTGGTTATTTTTTTTTCAGCTGAAAGAGACAGAAGAAGTTTACCAACACCAGGTAATTATATCAGATCATACCATTTTGTAGGTTTGATATTAATAAATAATAATAAAGAGATGTGGTGTGATTGCCAATGTAACAACTCTTCAACAGAGTCCAATGACATAGATGTAAGCAGCTATATAGGTCACAATAAAGCCTTCAACAATGAGCAAATTCATACTGGTCTATAGTCAGATATGAAAGATCCTGACATGACAAAATGTGCAACAATTCAAAGGATAAAACCAATTACCGGTATGACAAAACAATGAGCGAAATACAAATATGACAGACATGAACCAACATCAACCACTAAATTACAGGCTTCTGACTTGGGACAGGGACCTATAGAATGTGGCAAGGTTAAACATGTTTGTGAGCTCTCAACTCTCACAGTGGATAGTGGTGTAACAGCACACCATAAGAACAGACTTTATATATCAGTTAGAAATGTTATTCCATTGGTATTATATTATTTGGATTTTCATTAACCTGGTATAACTTTTTTTTAGCAAAATGGAACTGCAGAGTTATTCAGAATTTTTTAACCCTATGTTTCTTGTCAAAAGAAAACATTTCCATCAATTTTGTAGCTTTTAGCCTGACTTCTTTGTGATAAGTTATGGATTAAAGTGATAAAAAAAGAGGTGGACACTAACATTTACTGCCAATTTATTTATTTTCTTGGGTACCCAATTTTGTGGATTGAGGAAAACTTCTATTTTCATGGTTTTGCCAATGTCTACATACAAACTAATAGAAAATGTATACTTTGTTGAACATTTAAATTCGGGGTTTACCTTTACCCAGGAAACCAAGGAAAATTGATATCCCACGATTAATAATGAATTCACAGCAGATTTTTGTTAGATTTTTCAGCTTTTTTGCAGGATGTTCTAATGGTAAAATGATGAAGTGTTGTGCCATCGATCTGTGTTTGCATGCTGTATGTCCGAATAATCCACATGCTGTGTGTCGTATCAATCCATGTAATGACTGTTCCACAGAGTTCTATGACCAGATGAATCGTAAAGTAGACAGCTGTTTTGATGGTAAGTTCAAACATCTAGCTGTGTTTTTGTCTCACCTTTTTCGTCGTAGTATACGAGACATAGGTAACTATGCGGCGGAGGCAAAAACTATTTGAATAAAGCTTTATATTTCAGAAGGTAGAAGACCTGGATGCTTCATACCTTGTATGCAGATACCTTATGTTACGAAGTTTCTGTCTGTCATATGCCCATTGTCCTTGACCTCATTTTCATGGTTCAGTGACTGCTTGAAAAAAAATTACAGTTTTTTTGTCATGTGAATTTCTCACTTATTATAAGTAATAGGATAACTATATTTGGTATATGGGTTCCTTGCAACGTCTACATGTCCGTCAGATAGGGTTACCCTGACCTCAACCTCAATTCGTGGATCAGTGATCAAGGTTAAAGTTAAGTGATTAGGTCCGTTTCTCAAATACTACAAGCAGGTCAACTATGTGCATAGATGCCAACCATTACGATTTTTCCGTAATTTTTTAGCTATTTTGCGATAAAAACTACGCTATTACGGTCAATAGTTGAATAGTAACGGATCCCAGTCGCTGCCGTTCAATTTTGTAAAACACAGATTTTTTTCATTGCTTTTCTGGCCCGGTCCGGTATTTAGAACACGCCAATGTAATGCTTCAGTTCCGGTTTCTCGGGAGTTATCGACCTATCGTTTGGTAACTAACTGACTTCCGAAGAGGCAAACACGCATTTTATGAAGTGGCTTTCCCCCTTTCTCTACTTCTCCTTGACAAGACGAAAATGTCTGAGTCTGGGCCGTCTGCACCTAAAATTAAGAAGAAAGGACAGCGTTATAGGACGGAATATTCGCTGGAATACCCTTGCCTGACCAAGTCATCAAGGGAAAGCTGTGTGTATTGCACATATTGCAAACAAGATGTCAGTGTGTTGCACGGGGGTCATGACGACTGTAAGCGGCATGTTGAGTAAAAAAAACATGACAGCAATGCAAAGTTACAAAATGACAATTCTAAACATTCATCATTTTTTCAAAAGAAAGAATCCACAATGGAACTTCAAGTGACAAATGCTGAAACTTTATTTACAAATTTTCTAATTGAACATAATGTCCCAATTGCAGTCAGTGACCATGCAGGACCTTTATTCAGGAAACTGTTTCCTCACACTGAAATTGCCAAAAAGTATGGATGTGCAAGAACCAAAACTTCTGCAATAATTGACAATCTCTCAAAAGACAAAACTGAAACTATTGTGGAGACACTCCAAAAAACCTTTTTTGCATGTGCTACAGATGGCAGTAATGATGTCAACACACAGCTATACCCCATAGTAGTTCGTTATTATAATAAAGAAATTGATCAGATAATGACTGCTTTATTATCAATGCCAAGTTGTAATGAAAGTTGCACCGGGGAAAATATTTTCAACTTGCTCAATCGGGAGTTTGTGAAATATAACATACCATGGGGAAATGGTGTTTCATTCAGTTGTGACAATGCCTCAGTAATGACTGGAAAGCACAAGGGTGTTGCCAAATTTGTAGCCGATCAGAATGGAAATATCTATATAAGTGGTTGTCCTTGTCATCTTGTACATATCGCTGCGCAGAAAGCAGCACAGAAAATGCCAATAAAATTTGAAGATTTGCTTGTTGATATTTACTATTATTTAGATAAAAGTTCTAAGCGTAATTTAGAATTAAAAAAAATGCCAACTGATGTGTGAAATAAAAACCCACAAAATCTTAGAACGTGTTGCCACTAGATGGCTATCATTGGGCAAATGTTTAGAAAGACTTCTTGAGCAGTGGGATGCACTGAAAATGTTTTTCGAACAAGAATATGAGATTGAAAAGAAAAAAAGGAAAACAAAAATTAGCTAATGAAAAAAAAAGAAAAGAAAAGTGATAGCTCAACTGTGACATCTGAAAAAAGTAAGGGCAAAGCAAAAACTGACAAAAGTGAAGAAAAACAAAAAACTGATAAAAGAAAGGACAAATCACAAACTGAATCAAGACCTTCTGGATCTAAAACTAAAACTGTTACTGTTTCTAAACCAACCAATCCGTCAAAATTTATGGCAAAGCAAGCTTTAAGTGACAAAACATCCAAACCCAAGCAAAAGGAGTTCATATTGCCATCAAGGGTAGGAAGGGTACACATATTATTAAGTAGTCCAAAGACCAAGTTGTACTGTCTTTTTCTGTATCAAACCAGGGGCGTAGCTAGGCCATCATGATGTGTACTCAATGCCAGAGGAGAAGTCATATGGCAGGGGGTATGGGTGCTGCTCAAGGCCCCCAGAAGCTCTGGGATAAATGGTGCAAAATCCTGCATTCTCGCAATTTTCTTGGACTTAAAATAAGCTCAAGGAAATCTTATTTTCATGAGTAACAAGTCAACTTCTGAAAATAAATTTGAAAAAAATATATCAATTAGAGAAAAACAAACAAGTACTGTTAGCTTAGAAATTTGGTTTATCTATTGTGTAGTTGGTTGAGCTTGGTTAGGTATTAAGTACAATTAAAATATATGTTGCCACCACCAGACTCAACCTTCTATATATATACATTAGAAAAACCAAATTTCTAAGCCAACACCGTGCAACTTAAAGGGTTTTTTTTTTAATTGAGAAAATACATAAATAAATAGAACTGCATTTCTCTATGTTGTATTTCATAAGTGAACAAGTAGTCTTTCTATCAGCTTTTAATTCTCAAAGTTAAAGAACACGTTGAATGAGGCACCCGTCTTGCATGGCCTAACGTAAACAAGAAAGTAAAAAAACGTTGATCGTCAAATAAAAAAAAAAAAAAAAAAAAAAAACGGCGAAAATATTGCACGAAAATTACCCTTTACCACCCCCGTTCAAATTAAGTTTGACTGGACTATTTAAAAATCTGTTATGATGATGTATGTAACTAAGACTATATATTATCATATCACAGGAAAATCATAAGAATGAATTGTTGTCGATGGTCTCTTTAAAACGTCATATTTTATTTCGTCAGTTATTTTGAAATCTTTAGAAAAGATGTCAGGGTAAGGAGGCATACATAGAAGACGAGACAATTGTTTAATGACACCCCGAGGACTCAGCCATTTGTTATCAATTATTTGCATCAGCAGCATAATCATGATGCTGGTTACATAAATGAAAAGAGTAGTTTCAGGAATGGAATATAGCTACAAAGTAATTATTAACATGTTTCTGTAATACTTTTTAATTAAGTTTATTACTTTAGTTTTACTCTTACTAAATTTACCATATTTTAATTTTTGTCATATTTTCGATGTGTACGCAACTGCATTTTTGCGTACGTGTTGCTACGCGCTTGCAAACAATTCCATTATTTGATTCATTTAACACATTTCTACAGAGTGACAAACCTTTAATCTATGTATTAAGGAGAGAAATCCTTGCATTACTAACTGACTTATACACCAGATTTGTGAAGCCATCATCTATCACATCCACTAGTAATCTGTTAAAAGTCATTACAATGAAAGAAAAAATCAGAAAAATAGGGAAAACCTTACCATTGGAGCAGAAACCAGAATTCACATGAGACTTATCAAACTCACTTCTGAAGAAGAAACAACTTTTTATCAATCCATCAGAGAGTTTTTTATGGCTGCTTGTGACTATATAATAAAAAAACTTCCTGTAAATGACCCTCTCTTGCACCATGCAGAAGTTGCAGATGTTAAACTAAGATCAAATCAAAAGTTCTGCATAGTAGAATATTTTATTGATAAGTTGTCCATGGCACTAGTGTCTGATGCTGCGGATAAAAACAGTATGAAAGATCAACTTGAAGTCCAATTTTCCCATTATCAAATTGAGAATCTCTCTCCTGACATTACTGAAGCAGAACGAATTGGCATTTCTTGGAATATGATTGCTAAAATTAAGGGACCTGATGGAAAACCAAAATATTCAGAACTGTCTAAACTAATGATTGACATACTAGTTATCCCACACAGCAATGCTGATAGTGAAAAATTTTTCAGTCAAGTCAGAAAAAAACAGAACTGAAACTTGATACGTTTTAAGTTTAACTGACATTTGAATGAAACCTTGAATGTGAAATCATAAAGGATTATGTAAAATATTCAAAACTATATAAATTGAAAGGACATGCCAGTAAACAAATTCCAATAAACAATGGTAGACAAATATCAATCAAGATATCTATTGAAAACAAGAAAAAAAAACCAATAATGAACAACTAATGAACATGATGAATGGAATACATACTACAGATAACATGTTTAACGAAACATGTTATTCCACATCACTTTGTAACCATTTGTCACTAATTTTTTTGGTAAATGCACGTTTTTGAATGATTACTGAAATGTTTTCAAAATTACTGAAAATTTGATAGATTGTTATTGATTGTGTCAAAAGGGGGTTGGCATCTATGTATATGTGGTGTATGGAATGATTATAAGGGGTACATGTCTGTCTAGCTGGTGTCATCTGACCTTGACCTCATTTTCATGGTTCATTGGTCAATGTTAAGTTTTTGTGTTTTGTCTGTTTTTTTAAGTACTATAAGCAATAGATCTACTATATTTGGTTTATGGAATGATTGTTAGGTGTACATGTCTGTCTAGTCGGTGTCATCTGACCTTGACCTCATTTTCATGGTTCATTGGTCATTGTTAATTTTTTGTGTTTTGGTCTGTTTTTCAAGTACTGTAAGCAATAGGTCAACTATAATTAGTGTATGGAATGATTGTAAGGTGTTCATGTCTGTCTAGCCAATATCATCTGACCTTGACCTCATTTCCATGGTTCATTGGTTAACATTAGATTTTTGTGTTTTGGTCTGTTTTTCAATTACCATAAGCAATAGGTCAACTATATTTGGTGTATGGAATAATTGTAAGGTGTACATGTTTGTGTGACAGTTTTTTTCTGACCTTGACCTCATTGTCATGGATCATTAAGAATGTTAAGTTTATGTGATACTTGTAGTAAAACCTTTATCTTTAAGACTGTCAACATAAAATCAATGGTCAGTAAAACAGGCGAGACATTTCAGCGTGTGCACTCTTGTTATAATTATAAAACAGAAATGAAGAAATAAAAATCATGCATTTGTTTAGTTTTTTTGTGAATTGTTTATTTTGATGTGCTTAATATTTTAACTTTTTTTATTTTTAGTGCAAAGTAAACCAAAATGTGACAACAGCCAAAATGTCCTAATTTTATGATATCAAATAAGTGTCATTATCTTTAAAATATGACCTTTGAATAATAGACCATACATAATTGCAACACTGCCATCACTGATATCCCCCCTTTTTATGGAAAATTGATACTCCATATACAATAATTAGCTATATTTTTGAACTTCGAAGCTCACACAAAAAAATAAGAAACTTAAGAAGTGCTAATACTTGTACTTATTGATTCATATGGATGATCATCATGTTATTCCTATTTACTATATTTACAGGCATATCTAAGTGTGAAAGAATGCAATATGGAATGCTGGGAAAAGCTGTTCCAATGCTCGGCTGGGCAGACACAACAAACCCACCATATCTACAATCCAGGGGACCATCTGGAAATTTGATGTTGGGTGTGGTCAGTCCTTATTGGGCAGACACAACAAACCCCTTTCATTTGCAGTCATATGACTCTAACTTTAACTCGCCAAAGGATTCCAAACAGAAACAGGGTTCATCCACATGGCTTGATATTATGTTCTTATTACAAAAAATTACTGATGATAATGATGATACTGCTACCCTGCCTGGAGGATTGGGAGCTGGAGATGATATGTTTCAATCAAAAAAGGGAGGTTTTGTTTGTCCAGTAATTTTGCCGACTACAGCTGGAATCTGTCAACAGGAATGTAACAGCGATGTGGACTGTGTGTCTAGTAAAATGTGTTGTTACAATGGATGTGCAAATACATGTCAGAACCCTGTACAAGGTAAGGCCAAACAAACAAAAATGTGTCTGTTTAGGGTTTCTTTCTATAGGAAATTAGGGTAGGTAGGTAGGATTTGTTTTTCTCAATTTTTGTCTCGCCTTGACGGAGTCAAAAAGCGAGAAATAGGTATGCTGTTTCCGGCGTTGGCGACGGCGGCGGCGTCAACAATGTATTATTAGTTTGTGAATAGGTCTAGTTCATGGTGAACCACTAGTGGTAGGGCAATGATATTTGGTATGCAGTTGTATTAGCATTGGCACATCTCATTACCATGGATATTATTTGGCCCCCTCAGTCAAGGTCTATTGACTTTGAAACTTTGCTTAGTTTACATGTATTAGTTTGTGATTAGATCAGTTTATGGAGAACCACTAGTGGAAGGTCAATGATATTTGGTATGCAGTTGTATAAGCATTGGCATATCTCATTTCCATGGAGATTATTTGGCCCCGCCCCCTCATTCATGGTCTATTGACTTTGAAACTTTTGCTTAGTTTTCATGTATTAGTTTGTGATTAGGTCAGTTTAAGGGGAACTGTTAGTGGTAGGTCAATGATAATTGGTATGCAGTTGTATACCAGTAAGCATTAGCACATCACATTTCCATGGATAATATTTGGTTCTTACCCCTCAGTCATGGTCTATTGACTTTGAAACGTTTGCTTAGTTTACATGTATTAGTTTGTGATTAGGTCAGTTTAAGATGAACCACTAATGTTAAGTCAATGATATTCGGTATGCAAATTAAATGTATTGGCATTTGCAAGTTTCATTTCCATGGAGATTATATAACCCCACCCCCCTCATTATGGTTCATTGGCTTTGAAACTTTTACATAGTTTACAAGTTAATGTTTGTGTTTAGATTTGTTTAAAGGGAACGACTTATGAAAAGTCAATGGTATTTGGTATGCAGTAGTATTAGCATTGGCACATCTGATTTCCATGGAGATTGTTTAGCCCTGTACCTTCAGTCATGGTTCATTGACTTTGAATATTTGCATAACTTTTATTGCTATTTTAATTTCAACATTTGCAATATCAAAATAACAAATAGGCGAGACATATCTCTGTGTTAACAGTTTATTTAATCTGGAGTATATGGGGACCACCTACAATTTTGTCGCAGTTTGCTACGGTACCAAAAGTGCATTTTAGGTAGGGAAACCTTTAAAACACAAGTATTTTTTATAAGGACCTAATGAAATGAAATTCATTAACAAATCAAGTAAAAACAAATTTTTGAGAAAGAATATTTCAAAACAGGAATCAGGCTGTCTGTCAATGTCATAAATCCTGTAAATGCAATTCCTCTTGGTTTTAGTTCAGTGAAGCATCCCACAATGATGGTAGATTTTAGTTGTAAGATTTTTTGTGAAAAGAGCCCCTAGTCCTGTACTCCATGACACAGCCCTCATTAATCTGTTCATCAAATAGGGGTTCAGCTGTAACAAGGTATTTTTGTAAGGGGTTCTGTGGGGGAATTGAATGAAACACAATTTCAGGGATAAAATTTACATTACCATATAGCACTTTTTTCTTTATGAATATAGCTACAACACAGTTGTTGAGCTTTTTTTTTATATTGAAACTCCTTGTTAAAATGTAAAAGATTTATATGAGTAAAACTAGATGTGGGGTATATATGTTAATGAAGCAGCAACCTAACAACAACAATTACCAAAGGATCAACATGCAGACTTTAGCAATAGACAAATGTTTATAATATATATATTAAAAAGTTCTAAATTGACCAATCAATGGGGCATTAACTGTCAAATACATGTTCAACGATTTGACCCAAATTCCCATATTTGATTTGTTGACATTTTTTTCTTTTTGATGAATGAATCAGATGCTGAACACATGTGTAGCCCATCCCCACTAAAAGTCAAATTAAACGTTGCAAAAATACAGATTCAAATGAGGTTGAATAATTGACTTGAAAGTCAATATTACATCAGTGATGTTTTATAGGTTATTTTGACGAAGCTATACCAAACTGACTGCTTATACCTAAATATTATTTCTATATATATATTCTACTTTTATAAATGTTTGAAACATAAAAAAATCATATTTTGATTTTTGTCTATTTCATAGCTAATGCCCCTTTAAGTCTAAAAAAGTTTTGTGAATAAAGGAGTAGGTTCGATAAGGCCCAAAAATGGCCCCCTTCTTTAGCTTAAATTTCTAATTAGGATTTATCGACCAATATCACAATGAATCATAGCTAATACAGTGACTAGATAGAAAATAAGCCTTTTTGTTGAAAATTTACGTTCCTGCGTTTTATTCATGACGTCACAAATAGTACTCATTTAGATTTTCCACGAAAAAATCAATGAAAATGGGTAAATTTCCATGGATAATTGGACAGGAAACAATAGAGTGCAAACGTCGACAAACAAGATCTTTTAAAATAATGTTTGTAAAGACATTTTACATGTCTAACTTGAATATTTAGTTTGTCAACGCCTGCGCTTTATGTTTCCTGGTCCTAAATTTGGTTGAAATCCGGCTGATTTTGTCAAATTTCGCCAAAATCTCTTATCTTTGCCTATTTGGGATGTAAAAATCAACGCTTTAGAAGAAAAATTTGACACAAATAGTTCTATTTAACTTTCTCACATGTCTTTAAGTCAACTTTAAACATTTTTTATCATGTAACATTGAACTTTATAATCGGGGCCAAATATGGCCCTTACCGAACATACTCTTTTAACAGAGACACAAAAAACTGTTAGATATGACAAGACAACCACTGATGAAGTTACTGATGGGACTGGCACATAAATATGTGGCGGTGTTAAACTAGTTTTTGCAGTCTCAACCCTCCCCCTTTTAATGGTTTTTTTTCTATGTTTTTTCTTTTCTCATTACAGTTATGTCAGATGAAGTTTGTAAACTGCCACCTATATCAGGTGAATGTATCAGCCAAAAATATGTAAACAGAACATACTTCAACCAAGCAACAGGCAAATGTGAAACATTTAGGTACAGAGATGGTTGTCATGGCAATGACAACAACTTCCTGACAAATGAAGCATGTGTTCGAGGATGTATACCAGGTAAAGTATATCTAAGTAGATGAATAGAACAATATTTCAAGACCTTTATGCAAGTACATAAAATATGGACTTATTTCAAATATCTTGAGAAGTTAAGTAATATTTTAAATGACAAGGACATTTTGGGGCTTATTTAGTCCTGTAAATTCACCAAAAATAAAACATTGCTTGATGTCATTTCTTATCTTAGCAGGAGTAGCAGAAAGGCTTTTTCAGAAAATGTGAATATACGCCAAGCTTTGATGACACAATTTGACTGTGACGTATCAAAGTGATGTCATTTGCAAGATTTGTCAGATTTTTTACTAGAATGGGCTAATTGTATGAACTTTCTGGCTAAATTATCAAAGAGACCAAGAGTCGCCCAAAAAAACTGTTCGCCAGCTAGTGAATACATAAACACAAAATTTACTTACTGTTTAGATATCTTTTATAGTCGATGGTTGTGCTCTACATCATTTGTAAGCATGTACAAGTCAAATAGTCAAGATTTTGTATAGTTTAAACATTTTACTGCATTTAATTTCATTTCAAGCCTGCACATGAACAGGGAATATTTTGTTACCTAAACATTGTCATGATTGTATTATTGAAGTACATACATTCAATATTTAATTCTAAAAAATTTGAGGTACTTGATTTTAGGGCCAATTAGGTGTCAAATATGTACCTTGTCCTTTAATTGTATAATATGGCAAGGATGGTAACCAGTCAGGGATATTACTCTATAGGGTTATTAGAGAAAATATCTTGCATGTGTTATTAGAGATACTTTTAAGAGTTGTCTACTCTTTATTCCTTAAATTTTCTAAATCTGTAGTAACATATGTTTGTTATTTGTTAAATAAATCATAAATATTTTTTATTTTTAGTGGGCACTTGGGAATTCTTGAAACTTTGTGCAGAAACTAAATACATAGCCTTGATAACTAATTTTTGAATTAAATTACAAAATGTAATACATTTTTCATCAACCATGGTAAATCAATGGGACAAGGCTTTTAAGGGATAAACTTAGCTGTAATAACAAGGCTTAGTTATTAAAGGCATGTAACTTATTATATGAGACACTTGGGAATTTCAGGGAAGCTTGTGCAGAACCTCATTACATGCTCTGCCCTTATGGAAAAATAAGGCTTCTTGCAAATATTTGCGGCAATGTTGCTGCAAATATTTGCGGCAATATTGCTGCAAATATTCATTTTTCGTATGCAAATTAGTTTTCTTGCAAACAGTTGCTGCAACATTGCCGCAACAAATTGCTGCAATATTGCGGCAAATGTTTGCGGGAAAATCAGTAGCTGCGATTGTTGCAGCAATATTGCGGCAAATTCATTAGCTGCAATTGTTGCAGCAATATTGCAGGAAAATTAATTTCTTGCAATATTGCAGCAAATCTTTCAACAATTTCAGTTGAAAAAATTAGGAATTGAAAACTAAGCATTTAAAAAAATATGATTTAATCATAAAACAAAGTTTTTCTCTGTCATCTATAGGTTGTCGTGTTACATCGGTGTATCTTTTAGTTTCGATTGCCATTGTACTCACTGTCCTTAAAGTTGAATTTACTGATTTCAAATACTGCAAAATAAAAGTTTAAAAATTTAGCATATAAAAAGAATAACTAAACATTATAAAGATATAAAGTTACTACTATATACATGTATTGTAAATTCTGGACTTGTAAAATGAAAATAACACTTTATAAAAAGATCTATAGGGCAAATTTCTCCTGTATTTGTTTCACTTGAAGGGTCAATGTCTAAAAGTTGTCAAGTCCTTCTAGAAATTGCATGTTTTTCAAATTTCTGGATCTGCAACTGATTCTATATATAACTGTAGATACATTTAACCTCATGCCAGTACTAGGTTGTTATTGTTTTTTTTAATATTTGTTTTTCATTGTAATATAACATAATTGGTCTTGTCCATTTTTTAAAATTTTAATTTTGGTGTTGAGTTGTGTATATAAAAGCTATATTTTGTTTTCATTTGTTGATAGATGTCTTATTGGCAGTCAAACCACAGTTCTCTAATTTTTGTGCTATTTTCACATTTCTTCATGGGTGTGAGAAAAATATTTCTCCTCACTAGTGAAAAACTTGTTCTCAGCAAATGATTGGTCGAAATTTAATTATGACGTCATATTTTCTTGGTTTCTTCTGAAATTTCCTATTGTGACGTCATGAGAAAAAGGTACCATGCCTGATGACGTCACATTTAAAGTACACAACTTTCCGCAAATCTTCGAAAAGGAAGGATAAAAATCATTAGAGAAACAGATTCCACCACTATAACTCGTGTATTACGATATTTATCCACTCTCAACAGTTAAATTTAAGTTATTTAAAAAGCTCGGCAAGCCTCGCGCTTTAAATATTAGAATTAAACTGTCTTGAGCGGAGAAATATCGTAACACACTTGTTGCAGTGGTGAAATCTATATATCTCTTATTTAATATACCAAACTGCTTTTATTAGAAGATTCTTGTTTTAATTTAAGTAATACTTTCTAAAACATACTGTCTTAAAAAGATTAAAAAAATATCTCCTGTCTTACACAATTTTAATAATATTCATGTGCATAAATCTATTGTCTAATATTTTTCTTGACTCTATAAAGTTAAGAAGACACTTCAAATATCACTATTTTGAACTATAAGAGCACACACTTATTCAAAATGGTGGACATTCTAATCCATTGTACTTACCAAAAGATGTTATCCAAAATATGTGTAAACACCAATCTTCCTAAATCCAAGAGTCATGTCAATTCAGAAGAATACATCTGCACTTTCCAATGTCAATAGAATTAATTGGAACTTTTGGATCTAAATCCATTGTAAAATTCATATTTTGTTCATGATAGAAGACATCTTTGTTGTGTGAATGTTCATGTCCAGTTCAAATTTGGAATTTGTTGAGGTTGTTTAGGGTATTGTCAGACAGTGACCCCTTTGAAATTTGCCCCTAATAATAAATATTAATTGCCTAAATCTTGAATATTTGATATATATTATAATAAAAAAATATCTATCTATTGTTTTATTTTTTTTATCTTTAATGTTATAAGTTATAATGGAAATATATATGAAAAAAAATGTTCTACCCTTAATTTGGCCTCAAACTCTGTGTAATTTATAATACTTCCTGTCTTTGCCACTACACAGAGATAAATGGAAAACAGATGGAACATTACATTTCTATAACCAGCTCATATTACTAATTGAGATGAGAAAGAGGGCATGCAAATAATTTGTGTATACATAATTAAATAATTAAATAATGATACTAGTATTTGACAAAATGCAACCTGCAACAGGTGAGGCTAAATTCAATATATAAAAATAAAAATATTGTTCACAGAAAAATGTCACAAAAAAGTGACAAAAAAGCATATATATAGAACAAAAATTAATATGTCTCAATTATTTAGATTAAACTTGTTGAAATAAATACCAAAGTATTCTTGAAATTCTTTCTTGTTACAAGATATCATAAATGTGATGTACAGTTTAGGAGTTATTTATAAGCATTAATTCTTATTTGAAAGATTTCTTTTTAAATAATTCAAATATCCTGATATTTCTGAGTAACATGAAGTATGACGATAGAACATTTCGATAATTCGAAGTATTCATAACCAAATATTCAAAAAAAAAATGTTGTGTGATGAACTTTAAATCTTAAAAAAAATAATCATATGTAATATTTTAATATGCTTAAAATATCGGTGCAAACTATCATGTCTGACATTTTTAAAGAAACATTTCTTGCAAAGTTGTTGCAAATAGTTATTCCTTAAACAATAAAAGAAAAGGTTCCTGCAACTTTCTAGCAAACAAACTCTTTCTTGCAACATTGCAGCAAACTTGCTGCAATTTTCTTGCAAACAAATTTTGTTGCAGTAACATTGCGAGAATGTTGCAGGTAGCTGCAACAACCTGCAACTTTCTTGCAAACACTTCTTGCAAACAAATTTGTTTGCCGCAATATTGCAGCAATATTGTTGCAATATTGCAGCAAACTTTTCATTTCTGTAAGGGTGATCATTATTTCTTACAATAAATTAAAATATGTTGTGATTAAATATGATGTATATCTGAGCAAAGGCTTTGAAGTGATGTAGAGAAGCTGTAATAACACCCTTTAGTTATTCCAGGCATATTTTTTCTGTAATAACAATATAGGTGTACTATGCATGATTGGCAAACTATGAACTGTTATATCTTTCTATAGTTTAGTATACATAAAGACAATAAAAATATCAGTAGAACTTGTATACATTCTAACAAAACAAATGATGTATATTTGGCAATTTGAAACATGCAACATAAATATGTTATCACATGCAGTTCTTTGATTTTATAGTCCACAATAACAAATGATTGTATGTTATTTTTCTCTAATAACCCTATAGATTTATATCCTTGACTGATAACTCATAACATGTACAGTAAATAAGTAAGTTTTTAAACTTCAGGTATCCCTGACTTGTGTATAAGTAGTCCAGATCCAGGGATGTGTGAAGGTTACTTTCCAATGTGGTTTTATAATGTGACATCAAATAGATGTGAACAGTTTGTTTATGGTGGTTGTGATGGCAACAGAAATAAATTCTCCACTGAAAAGCAGTGTTATGTGTCATGTGGTTGGTATTTGACTAGTCCCAATATTAATTGATCTTTTTGTACATGTGTCACACAGAGTTGTTTTCCATAAAAAATTACCTGTATCATTACTAAAAAAAGGAAATAGCATAAAATCTTTAAAATAAATCTTTGTAAGTACATTTTCTACTGAGATTTTGGTAATGATACCTTTATGTTTTTTTTTAGGAATGTGGTTGTTGACCAAACGGTCTTGAAAACATGACTGCCAACATTAATAACCTATAAATAATTAAACAAGGGCATTCAGACTTTTTGTGAAGAAAATGGAATCTTTGCGTTGCATTATATGACTATTTTGATTACAATATTAAAATAGTTTATTTTAACTTAGTATTTTTTTACTGAAATGCAAAGTAGACGTGCTCAAAGCCAACCATCAAATTTAACATTACTTTTTTGCCACAATTATATTCCAGTTCTGACAAAGCGTCCTTTTTTACAGTACATGAAAATTTTCTCCTCTGCAATAAGTAGGTCAAGTTAAATTAAGACTTGAATGATCATAAATGTGTGTTGTTTCAATGTTGTATCCAATTTTGCAACCTGCCTCAGCAATACATAGTTTACATTACTGGTATTCAGATTGAGTCAATGTAATATATAGATTCCTGACAGATTACTAAGTGCTTGTATTTATTTTTAGCCAAATTTTAAATTCTTTTGCAGGGACGTCATTGAATTTGCCATCTGTTTGTCAAGTAAGTTCAAATTCTAATTTTATTTTATAACAAAAAGTATAAGTGACATCAATCTTTTAAAGACAAAAGTAAATTTATTCATTTATTGTGTTTCTGTTTGCTGAGAGGCACATTCTATGCTCACATGTGTCAAGCAACATGTGTTAAAGCATGTGTCAAGCAGCAGAGTGTTTCAGTCGGTATATGTTTCTGGTTGTTGAATTATGAATAATCCAAAGGATGTTGTGACCAATATTCCATTATTCAGATGTAATATTTAAATTTTCAGTTAATTTGCAAGTTTAAGGCAGTCCACTTTAAAGCAGCTGTTTTATCACAATGTTAACTTCTAAATAATTGCAGAATACATCAGAAAGAACTATCTAAAATATAGGCCCGAGTTATGGTATGACCTAATTTTCATAGTTCATTGAATCATAAGTTTTGGGTCAGGTTTAAGATAGTTTGATGTGAGGCAGGTGAGGTTTCATAATGTTTACAGGTAATCACCATAGAATTTATCAAGATGTGTATGGTATTTTACATATTCCTCCAAAAAATAATGTGAAGGTACTTACTACTGTCAGTAAACTGTTAATAATTTAACATTTGGTACAAGTTATAAGTCATATATTATTTTGTGCAAATAGCTTTTGGTTCTAACAGCAAGTTGTTTTATTACAGAAACTTTCATGCCAAGAAAATGCTGTTTGTTTAGCATATAATGAAACATATGCAGAATGTTTAAGTAAGTAATATATATATATATAAGAGAGAGTTGTTAAAAGATTTTCAGCATACGAATGAATTGTCAAGACAGCCATGATTCTCGAGGTCAGTTCAGAACTTTGAAATGTTTTATGAAATATGGTTTGATCCAGTATATTTTATTGATTGTTGTTTGCTTGATACAGCATCAATAGAAAATGACTATCATTGTCAATATTGTACTTTTTTTTTCAACTAATGAAAGTAGAAGGATGTGAACTTTTTGGTACAGTAGTATGTCTTGATTGTTTTATTTAATAACATGACATTCTGAAAAAAAATTAAATTCATTAAGAATAGATATAAATTAAAAACAAGATGTTAATGATTACCAACTAGTCAACTATCCACTTAGTTACGAACTTAGATGTAAACAACTGTAGGTCACACAACAAAACAAGGAGATGTGTATGATTACCAATTAGACAACTATCCACTTAGTTACGAACTTAGATGTAAACAACTGTAGGTCACACAACAAAACAAGGAGATGTGTATGATTACCAATTAGTCAACTATCCACTTAGTTACGAACTTAGATGTAAACAACTGTAGGTCACCCAACAAAACAAGGAGATGTGTATGATTACCAACTAGTCAACTATCCACTTAGTTACAAAACTTAGATGTAAACAACTGTAGGTCACCCAACAGTCTTGAATAATGAGCTAACCCATACCATACTATACATAGCCCGGAAAGACAAAATGTGAAACAAATGAAAAGAGAGAACCAACGACCTATATAATATAAAGTAATTTAAATATATAACATATAACTAACTAAATTATTTATTATAATGACATGTGTTTTTCATAAAATAGTATATAATACAATGAAATATAAAAACAATAATTAGAACACCCGACCCTTTGGGTGAATAAGTCACTATAACCATTAGTGTCAATGGTACCAGGAATTAAATAAATCAATTTTATTGAAAATTTTCATATAAAAAGTTTTTTCTTTTACTTATATAAATGAGTAGATAGACAAACATGTATGTTTGTATATAAGTGTGTACTATTGGTCTTTGATGGATAGTTGCTTCATTGGCAATCATACCATATCTCCATATTTTTATGCCCCCACCAAAGCGGAGGGGCATTAAGTTTTACCCTTGTCCGTCTGTCCGTACGTCCCAAAATTGGTTTCTGTTCTCTAACTTAAGTTTGCCTCAACCAAATGTTATGAAACTTATACACAATGCTTATTACCACAATACACAGATCAAGTTTGAATTTTTGTGGCGTCACTTTTACTGTTCTAGAGTTATGCCCCTTTACAAATGGAAAAATTGCTAAATTTTTCATTTGTTTTTCTAAAAATATCAATGATGTCATAGTTCAAGTAATTTTTATACGACCGCAAAAAAAATTTTGTGGTCGTATATTGGTATGACGTTGGCGTCGTCGTCGTCGTCGTCGTCGTCCGAATACATACTGGTTTTCGCACTCTAACTTTAGTTTAAGTGAATGGATCTTTTTGAAATTTGACCATAAGATTAAATACCACAAAAGGAAGGTTGGGATTGATTTTAGGGGTTATGTTACCAACAGTTAAGGAATTAGGGGCCAAAAAGGTGCCAAAAATAAGCATTTTCTAGTTTCCAGACAATAACTGTGGAACGGTGTATAGATCTCTCTGAAATTATACTATAAGTTTCCATACCACAAAGGGATGGTTAGGATTTGCTTTGGGGGGTTATGGCTCAAACCGTTTAGGAATTAGGGGCAAAAAAGGGGGAAAAGCAAGGTTGTCCTGGTTAATGGACAAATACTTTTGTACAAAACATAATTTAAAGCAGTGTAAGGGAGATAAATCAAATACATCATTGAGATTATCTCCCTTACACTGCTTTTAAATTATGTATAAAGTAATGGTTAATGAACAATAAAGATAATTTAAAACAGTGTAAGGGAGGTAATCAAAATACAACGTTTTGGTTACTTCCCTTACACTGCTTTTAAATTATGTTTAAAGAAATGCATATCTATAAAGGAAGACCAGTAAAAATATCTGCAAATGTTGCATCTTTTTTTTTTACAAAAAAATCCATATGAAAGATTTGACAGTATATTTTTAATTCTATTATAAAATAGATTAAGTTAGCACTATGGTAAATTTAATTGACTAATTATGGTTGCCAACTCCATTGGAAATTTGAATTGAGATTATGACCATATCTTGAGGGAAAGAATTTTTTGGGGGAAAAAAAGGGGGGGGGGATAAAAAGAAATTGTGGGGGGTCAATTTTTTCTCATTTCAGATTTCAGAAATTAAAAAGAATTATTCTTCAAATATTATTTTTTTTTCAAATTTCAAATATTGAAAAATTTCAAGAAGTAATCTTTAATTGCACAGTATGGCGCATTAGATTTGTAAAATCTTTGATCACATTTATTTATTTGTTATGCCGAATCTAACAGTGTATTTAAATTTTTAATTTTGGGTCCAGTTTTCAAATTGGTCTACATTAAGGTCCAAAGGGTCCAAAATTAAACTTTGTTTGATTTTAGCAAAAATTGAATATATGAGGTTCTTTGATATGCTGAATCTAAACGATGTATTTAGATTTTTGATTTTTTGGCCCAGTTTTCAAGTTGGTCCAAATTGGGGTCTAAAATTAAACTTTGTTTGATTTCAACAAAAATTGAATATGTGGGGTTCTTTGATATGCTGAATCTAACCATGTATTTGGATTTTTTATTTGTGGACCCCGTTATCAAATTGGTTCATATTGAGGTCAAAAGGGTCCAAAATTAAACTTTGTTTGATTTCATCTAAAATTGAAGTATTGGGGTTCTTTGATATTCCAAATCTAACCGTGTATTTAGATTTTTAATTTTTGGTCCTGTTTTTTAAATTTGTCTACATTAAGGTCCAAAGGGTCCAAAATTAAACTTTGTTTGATTTTAACAAGAATTGAATTCTTGGGGTTCTTTGATATGCTGAATCTAAACATGTGTTTAGATTTTTTATTATGGGCCCAGTTTTCAAGTTGGTCCAAATTGGGGTCCAAAATTAAACTTTGTTTGATTTCAACAAAAATTGAATATATGAGGTTCTTTGATATGCTGAATCTAACCATTTTTTTAGATTTTTGATTATGGGCCCAGTTTTCAAGTTGGTCAAAATTGGGGTCCAAAATTAAACTTTGTTTGATTTCAACAAAAATTGAATATATGATATTCTTTGATATGCTGAATCTAACCATGTATTTAGATTTTTTATTTGTGGGCCCCGCTATCAAATTGGTTCATATTGAGGTCAAAAGGGTCCAAAATTAAACTTTGTTTGATTTCATCAAAAATTGAATTATTGGGGTTCTTTGATATGCCAAATCTAACCGTGTTTTTAGATTTTTAATTTGGGTCCCGTTTTTTAAATTGGTCTTCATTGAGGTCCAAAGGGTCCAAAATTAAACTTAGTTTGATTTTAACAAAAATTGAATTCTTGGGGTTCTTTGATATGCTTAATCTAAACATGTGTTTAGATTTTTGATTATGGGCCCAGTTTTCAAGTTGGTCCAAGTTGGGGTCCAAAATTAAACTTTGTTTTGATTTCAACAAAAATTGAATATATGGGGTTCTTTGATATGCTGAATATAACCATGAATTTAGATTTTTTATTTGTGGGCCCCGCTATCAAATTGGTTCATATTGAGGTCAAAAGGGTCCAAAATTAAACTTTGTTTGATTTCATCAAAAATTGAATTATTGGGGTTCTTTGATATTCCAAATCTAACCGTGTATTTAGATTTTTAATTTCAAGTCCCGTTTTTTAAATTGGTCTACATTAAGGTCCAAAGGGTCCAAAATTAAACTTAGTTTGATTTTAGCAAAAATTGAATTCTTGGGGTTCTTTGATATGCTGAATCTAAACATGTGTTTAGATTTTTGATTATGGGCCCAGTTTTCAAGTTGGTCCAAGTTGGGGTCCAAAATTAAACTTTGTTTGATTTTAACAATAATTGAATATATGGGGTTCTTTGATATGCTGAATCTAACCATGTATTTTGATTTTGGACATTGGACCATAATAGGTAAATTAAAAAAATTTAAGTTTTTAGACCACATTCTTTCTGTGTCAGAAACCTATGCTGTGTCAAATATTTAATAACAATCCAAATTCAGAGCTGTATCAAGCTTGAATGTTGTGTCCATACTTACCCCAACTGTTCAGGGTTCGACCTCTGCGGTCGTATCAAGCTGCACCCCAGCGAAGCATTTTATTAAAATTGGAGTTATCTTCCTTTGTCCATGATTATAGTTGAATCAACTACAATCAGTGCTTTATACAATGCAATGTTTAATTTTGCCTTCCACTGATAAAACACAGATCAACTTGAATTTGGGTAGTGTCACTTTAACCATTATTGAGTTATGCCCCTTTATAAATCGAAAAATTGCAAAATTTTTAGTTTCCTTTCTGTAACTTAAGTTTGCCCCAACCAAACATGAAACCTATACACATTACTTATTACCACAAAACTTAGATCAAGTACAAATTTGGGTAGCGTCAATTTTATTGTTCTTGAGTTATGTCCCTTTATAATGTTGTATATGCAGGGTGGGCATCATCTGTATCCATGGGGACACATTCTCCATTTATTTAACTGTATATTAAGTATGAATATGTATATGTTATTTCCAAAAACTATAATTAGTGTGAAATTATTAAATCTGTATAACCACATCAATATAAATGCATTTTTGTATATATGATTGTAAAGAATATAAAAAAAGATTTATAATTTCAGTGAAAACAGATATATTACCAGAGTTAAACTATTATGTGGCTGACTGTGATACGATGGATGGATCATTTATAGCTGAGCAGTGTGCTGGAACTGTATGTTGGTGTGTTGATGTACAATCTGGTGCCTACATTGAGGATACCTTGAGAATTGGACATGCTCAGTGCAATACCTCAGTTGGTAAGATTTTTCTGCTTATTTTAAAGATACTACATCACTGTCAGTTTTGTGAGATTTTGTATTTAATACTTTGAATTTACCATTGCTAAGTTTTTTAATACTTTGGATTCATTATTTTTCATGGATAATGATGAACCACAAATTTAAATGTTCAACGAGGTACAAATGTTTTATAAATATGTATATGCCACATTTTTACACTTGAAAGATTGAAACAAATTGTTAATTATGATATTTCACAACTTTTAAGTATAATTATAGCTATTTTAACTGGCTCCCTATAGTTTGCTTGTTGAAAATCTAACATTTACATGTATATAACTATTTTGATTGGCAAAATATTGCAATCCACTATACTTGTAACACTGTGATTTCAGTGGTCAAAACTGCCTAAGGGAGGGAGGGAAAGACTAGTAATTGAACGATAACAAGAGCCACAATATATCAATGTGAACCTTTTTGGTGAGTGAGCCATTAAAGATATCATTACTAAGTATTTTTAAAGTCAAATGATTCTTCTTTCTTTTAGGTAACAATTTGACAGATTCACACAAACCAGGTATGTAGATATGTAAAAAGAAATAATTCGTAAGGGTTCCATGGAACCCAGTGTCTCGCCTACTTTTGCTGCTAGTCACAGGCTCGACAAAAATGGGGAAAAAATTTATTAAAATTTTCTTATAGATACTATCTTTTGATTGTAAGAAGCTTCTGTCCAAGTTTGGTAAAAATCCAGAATGGTTTATGAATCTAATAAATGTTTTAAAAACTTAAGACCATTTATAAGTAATATACAGAAAAACAGGAAATATATTTTTACAAAATTTCCTTCTAGATACTAGCTTATGATCATAACAAGCTTTTGTCCAAGTTTAGTAGAAATCCAGGATAGTTTAAGAAAGTTATTAAAATTTCAAAAACTTTAACCACAGAGTGAATATTTGTGGACGCCGGCAACGATGAAGACGATGCTGATGACAGAATGTAGGATCGCTATGTCTCGCTTTTGCAACAAAAGTCGCAGGCTCGACAATAACTAGTTAACTGTACAACCATATAGTTTTAAGATTTATAGGTACCACAAGATGAAATACACAAGCAATAAATCATGATAGATTGAAAAATGGCCACCTATAGCTAATATTTGAACATAAAAGATGTTTGTCAAGAGATTCAGTGAATAGACAATGAAATGATACTGTTTAGACTAAAAAATGATGAAAGATCTAGTACTAGCTACAAAGCGTTTATGTACTGTAAAGTGAAAGATTTCTCGTGTGGGATTTATTCACTAATTTCACAGTTCAGATAAAATGGTGAAAATATCCCTTTGTGATAATATTTTCTTTAAAAGAAAATTACAACAAAGAAATAAAAATGTGAAAAATAAAGGCTTCGAACAAACAGGTTTTGCTCGAAAAATCACAAAATGTACACTACAAAAAATTAACCATAGAGTATGTACAAAAGTACAATGTGAATGAAGTACATAGTAAAATATCACTCTGGTAAATGTTTATTGAATACGACAGAAATGCAAAATGTTTCATGGTAGGGGCATATGATACAGTACCAGGGGCGGATAATAATGCATCCAAATTTATTATGTTGTTTTGGCAACTTTGCTAGTGTTAATCATCTAAAATTTTATAATGAATATCAAAATTGATTGTGTCAAAGCTTCAAAGAAAAATCAATGCTAGATCTCTTGTGTTTTGTATGCCCTTCATCTTTGAAAAGTATGCATCATATGGACAGGATATTTGTATGTGTTATAATATTTTGATAAAGGACAGTATGATAATGGGGTATACTGTGCAAGCATTTGAAAGAGATAAAAACATAATTTATACTGTAAATTCAGAAATTATTGCGAGGTTTTTATTAATGTGAGTAATGCAACTATTTGAGTATCGTAATGATAAAAACTTGCATTCTGATATCAAATACATATATTTGTATGCTGATTTTCCTGAAATGGCAATAATTAGTGAGCTACCATTTGATTTTTATGGGGGGGCTAGGATGAAAAATTTTGTCCTGCATTTTTTTTTAGTTGTAATCTCTGTCCTGCCTTTTTATTTTTCACTCCATTCTGTCCTGCCTTTTTTTTTATTAGTTTATCCTGACTTTTTTAACATAAATTGTAATCCTGCCTTTTTTTTTGCCAAGTTGCTCAGCCTGCCTTTTTTTTTTACTCAAAACTCCTGTCCTGCCTTTTTTTTCAAATTTCATCCTACCCCATAAAAATCAAATGGTGGCTCCCTTAATCGTACATTTTTTTCCATTCTTTAAAAATAGCAATAATAACTGCACACAATAATTTCTGAATTTACAGTAATAGTAAAACTTTATAATTGGATAGATTTTAAAATGAAAAAAGAGTCTGAGAAATTTAGAGCTTGACATATGATATTAACACCTACCTATAGTTGAAAAAAATATATTGAGCTCTAGATGTCTTGGGTTTTTGTGTGCATTGGAATTGATCTATACCCAACATTTCCTTTTAACCATTTGTATTTGTTTTTCAGTTTGTTCAAATGGTAACATTCCATCACCCTGCATAGGAGCATGTCAGCAGTCAACTTGTAGGGGAAATCCCAGTGCTATTTGTATTCCTGATCCATGTAATAATTGCTCTATCCGATTTGAAAACCATCAAGGAGAACCAGTTGTTTGTGGAAGTAAGATTATATAATTTCTAAGAGGGGTACATGGGGATATGTAAATGTAATGTAATGTAATGCATATATTAACATTGTGGGATTTTATGATTTGTCTTCAGGAGTTATCAGTCTTCTTTGATTTTAGAAAAAAAAATGGAATTGGGCATTGCACAACTATTGTATTTATTTCTATTTGTCATAAAAAAAACTCTCATCACAATGTAATGCCAAAAGAAAATTTCAGTTCTCTGGTAAAAAATTTACAAAATGTTAAAAAAAAAATTGATGAAATGACATACATTTTTTATTTGAAATTCTGTACAATATGAAACACCTTATTTTCATTTACAGTGGATAAGTGCAAGAGCCAAAAGCCTGATCATAGGGACCATCAGGAGCACGTTGGGGAGTTTGCTTGTGGAAATCCATCCTTGAGATATGTTTATAACATATTCACATTCAAATGTGAAAGTTTCCTTTACACCAAGTGTGAAGGTCCTGATGTTTACTTTAGAAGTGTGTTTGATTGTCAGGACCAATGTACAGGTAAATTAATTAGATTGTCTGAACCAATGTACAGGTAAATTATTAGATTATCAGGACCAATGTACAGGTAAATTAAAAGATTGTCAAAACCAATTTACAGGTAAATTATTAGATTTTCAGGACCAATGTACAGGTGAATTACTGTAAATTCAGAAATTAATGTGTGCATTTGTTATTAAGAATCCTTGACCTCTGGACAAAATGCAATTTCTAATTAATGTAATTGCAAATTTTTATGAAGGAACATCACTACTGAAATTATGAATGCAAGTTTTTATTATTGCAAACATGATACTGTTGCAGTTATAGCATTAATAAAAACATTGTAATAATTTCAAAATTTACAGTAATGAAAAATAGAATTCTTACTTTTTAACCAGTTAATATTCTTATCCCTTTTCTCTCTCAGGAAATGTTTTTAGTTTTATAATTTATTTTACATTTTCATGAAAATTATTAAAGATTTCAGATATAAATTTCAACTTCAAATATTTTTTGAACAAATTCTTCTTGTCTTCCAATATTTTCAGAGACTGAAATGGAGAATCTTAAATCTAGTTGTTTTTTTTTTTTGTATCCATGAAATACCTCATCAGATATGTAAGACTGTTGTACATAAAAATTCTATTTATTGGGGTTTCCATTTTCTTTTTTTCAATAACCATGAAAATGATCATTTTAAATGTTGAAGTGTCTGATTTCTTGGAAGTTTTTTTAATTAGATGGATTACTTTTGACAGTGGAAAGTTATGGGAACTTCATAGAAAAAAAAAAACATTTATGTAATTGAAATTTGGGTATGTGAATAAAAAAATCACTTGCAAGTGTCAAACTATTTATATAATTTGAACTTTAGATGGTTTAATGGAATATCATTTTGTATTTGGTTTCCTGTTATACTATTGTTACATCATTTAAAGATTCATTAGACAAGCAGAATATGAGGCTCTTTAGGAATTCTTTAAAGGACTTTTGAGAATTTTTTTGGTTTAGATGATAGGATTTCTGATTTGAAGAACTACTTATACTAGACCATTGCCATTGAATTAATTTCATGCGTCTTGTTTACAAGTAATAGATTAGGCTTAAGCTCACTGTGATGTGTGTCTTTAATTATTCACGCAATTTCGAGTTAGATGTGCTTATGAAACAAAATATCTTCATTATAGACCATTGATATATTGAAAGCATTTACCTTACCTTCTGAATACATGTATCTCAATTTCAAGGCCTTTCCCTTTAATAATGCTTGGCTGAATTTAAAGACATAACACTGCTCAGTGTTGTTGTCTGAAGTGATTGGTTGATTTTTAGAAATAATTAGAAATGGATGTCTACTCCCATGTAATAAATATGCTTGTTCACCAAATTACTCTTTATAATTTTACAGACAAGACATCTAGTTAACAGTTTTATTGTCTTAAAATCTTTGACAGGTTCAATGTGTGAAAGTTCACAACCAAAGACATGTGAGAACACATGTGCTTCAGTGACCTGTCCCTATTTGACTGGTGCCCTGTGTCAGGTTAATCTTTGTACCTGTCAGCCAGAATTTTATGATCCAGTTTCTATGGAGAAAGTCCTCTGCAATAAAGGTATGTTTTCTATCAGATACTTAGCTGCATTCACATATATGAGGGTCTGGATAAGGGTTTACAGAAAAGAAAATAATGGGCAAAATGTGCAGAATAAAGGGCAAGAAAAATAAAGAATCGAGAAAAATAGGCATAAAAAATGAAGAATATAGAATGATGGGCAAATAAATAAAGAATAATGTAAAACGGTATTAAAAATTAAAGAATAAAGAAATGAAGGACACCCCTCCCCCATCCAGATCCTCATATATTTTGATTTAAAAAAACATGTTTTGTGTATACTGCATATTTGACTTGTTTCATCTCATCCATCCAAACTGTTACTTTTGTCATTATGTCGACCCTTTTTCATTGATTATATAAGGTCAAGTTTTTTTTCAAAAGCATTTCAAAGCACAACATTTGGCTTCAGCTGAAAAGATTCACCGTTTGACAGAATTTGACTACATATTTATACATTCTAAGTAGCAAAACAGATGCTATCTCAATGATGGAGAAATCCAGAAAGCCATATCAAATTTGTATTTGGTCAACCTTGATTTCATCTTGTTTAATGTAAAGTTGCATACCATGTTAAACATAATTCCTTCATGAGATGTATGGTTCTGAAGTCCTCATACATTATATTTTAAAAATAAATGAGATTTATACGTAAAATAATTTTTTATATTCTCAGTTCACCCAGTATGTCAGCAACAGAGAAGCCTGGTACATAATCAGATGGTGAAAAGCATTGAGAGTTCTGATAATTCAAAAAGATGGAAGCAATTACCAGTTTGTGATGAAAAGGGAGATTTTATTCCACAACAATGTTTTGAAAAGATGTGTTGGTGTGTTGATGGGATAGGAAATACAATCCACAATAGCCAAAAACTTCTGTCCAAGTCCTTTCAGTCAATTGATTGTAGTAAGTTGGGAAATGCTATTGTTTTGATTAATCTGCCAAAAACGATCAATGCCCGTATGATGACCTATTGTTGCTAACCTTTTATATCATTTGGTCTCTGGTGGAGAGTTGTCTCATTGGCAATCATACCATATCTTCTTATTTTTATAAGTTCTTACAACCAATTATATACAAGTATTGAGTAATTTATTTGCTTCTGACCAGTTTAATATGAAGTTAACCAAGAATTATTTGTAAAATATTGGAATAGATATTGCTCTTACAGATGGTAAAGCATGATTCTTATGTTGTGCTGTAACACCACTGTCCCAGGTAAGGGGAGGGTTGAGTCCTCACAAACATGTTTGAAATCGCCCATGACTTATTCCTTGGTTTCTGTCTGTCATATTTGTTTTTATACCCCCTCTTTAAAAAAGTGGGGTATACTGTTTTACCTCTGTCTGTCCGTCCGTCCGTCCGTCCGTCCCATGAATATTTTTCATCGCATTTTTCTCAGGAACTACATCATAAGGATTTCTGAAATTTGGTTTCAGGGTTTATATAAGTCAGCTATACTGTGTGATGCGTTTTCGGAGTCATCACTTAACAACTTCCTGTTTACCGAACACTTGCATCATTTTACACATGACATCCAAGTAGTTGAAAATTTTCGTCACATTTATCTCAGGAACTACATTACAAGGATTTCTGAAATTTGGTTTCAGGGTTTATATGAGTCAGCTATACCGTGTGATGCTTTTTCAGATTCATCACTCAACAACTTCCTGTTTACCCAAATATTTGGGCGGGGTTATCATCAGTGAGCAGTAGCTCACAGTTTCACTTGTTTGTTTATAGTTATAGCATATTTTATTGATTTTTCATGTTTCATTTGTTTCAAACCTTGTCATGCTTTGGCCTTTTAAAGCTTACTATGCAATAGGTTTCACTCGTAAATTCTGTAGGCTGACCTATAGTTGCTTAAATCCAGGTCCTTTGGTCTCTTGTGGAGAGTTGTCTCAATGGCTATCATACCACATCTTCTTATTTTTATTTTTCTGGTATCTTCACTCTAGATTTACCTGAAATCTCCTTAACACTCGTTTCAACACTGGATATTTTTTTTTAAGAATTCATCATAGAATGTAAATAAAATTGATCACATTGTTAACACTTGGTATGGTTTAAGTTGTAAAGTATTGTTGTGTTTTAAATCTGTGATTATATGAATTCACTTTTCCAAAAGTTAGATAAAAATGTAAAATCAAATTTCATCTGTTTTTAATAAAGACAACATGTATATCAAGACTTCTTCATCTTAAGTGACATTAATAATAAAATAATATTCAAGCTAGGTATTGATTTTAACAGATTATATTTTTTTTTTAAATTGTCTGGTCAGATTCATTGGAGATGTTCAAACAATTAGAGCTTATTTTGCTGTGTACCCTACCAGAGCACATGAAATCACCCCTGGTAATTGTTAGGGTTCATGTGCTCAGTCTTTATTTTTTTATGTAGTATTTTGAAGGTTGCAATTCTGTAAATATAGACAATGCAATTTCCCATAGGAACTCCCTTTGCGGCTAAAACTGTGACACTTTTACTATGAAGTTTCGTGAAAAATAATATCCCAGAACGGAAAGTTTATATGCACTACTATTTTATTCAAAGGTCAAAATATAGGGCTGTGCAGCATATTTTCAACATTTATATGCCCTGAACTTCTAAGAGTTTAAACTTGTACTAAAATTCTATACTATCCTTACCTTCATATTTGGACCTCCTAAGAATTAAAATTTAGGCGCCACCATGTTTTTCTATACTGGTTACATTCCCAAGTGATGTCTCTATGAGATGAAACACAGAGATCATAAATGGGAACCAGTACATTAACAAATTAACATATCTATGAATATTATATATCTCCCCAAAAGAGGCGTGGTTTGAGAAATAGCTGTATTTACAAAGTGCAACCTATACAAACATTTATTCAAATAGAAAACCTTCTAAAAACACTTTTTCTCACAACAATACTTATTTATCAGAATTATAGCCTTAAGGAAATCACTGCATATACTCTAAGTTTCCTTTTACAGTACATTTTATACCCCTACCCCTATTTCAGTTTTTTAAAGAATTTGAAAACAAGACTTGAATCATTGCCAGCTTACCCTATGTGCATGTTTTCTGACATAAAATGTCTAAAACATGTTTGAAACTATTCTGATAACAAATTGAAAGCATTTTAGAATACTATAAATGTATTGTTTAGTAGTTAATCATTCCAACATTCAAGATTATACAAAGTATCCAATCCTGCCTGTGTCTCCAGTCCACATCTTACTGTATGCCTATTTGTCAATGAAAGTTCACAATTTATGTCTCAAATGGTCAGTTAAGAATTCTTGTCACAACAGTATCATCTCTAACCATATAACTAACATAAGTTAGTTAATGTATGAACTAGAAGTGTCTAAACAAAGCCATATTTGCAAAATTGTATTTAAGAAGATATCAGTCTGGTGCATAAATTCACTAAAAGTTTGATAGAAATGACTGCTTACATCTTATTTTTGCATAACTTTCCAGCACAGTTATTGTTTTGTTTACAAAATACCTTGAAAATAATAAAATCATAGCATTTACAAGTTAAATTATCTGTTTTATGACCCAGGGTAGGCATTTTTTTCTGTTTTTTGCCCCCTGGGGCCTCACATTTCCTTAATATTTTCCCTGTTTCTAGCAATGTGGAGTATTTAGTATATATTTAGGATAGAACACACTATTGTAAGTTTTATTGAGGTCTTTTTGTAATTCTAGCTTGTACTTTTTAATGCCGCGGTCACAAAAAAACACATTTAGGTGTTACGGCTTACTTTTGGGTTATCGACAGGACAAAAATAACCTAACAAAATTATTTAGGAAGGATCAACGAGTTTCAATGACTGCGAAGAGTAAATATAAGCACTTCTAAACAATTTAAATCACAAATAGGCATATATTATGAATTTATTTTGAATTCATGGATTTAAGTAAACCATGCATACTGTAAACTGTGAATTTATGCTGAGTCATCATAGTTAAGGCTCAGGATTTTCTCAATCTTCATGAAATATTTATAAAACTTCATATTTGAGTTAAATTCTTTAAAATCTCTGAGATAAATCAAATTTTGTGAAATTCTGTATGTTCTATTTTTTAACCCTATATAGGTTGCAATTCTGTAAATATAGACAATGCAATTTCCCATAGGAACTCCCTTTGCGGCTAAAACTGTGACACTTTTACTATGAAGTTTCGTGAAAAATAATATCCCAGAACGGAAAGTTTATATGCACTACTATTTTATTCAAAGGTCAAAATATAGGGCTGTGCAGCATATTTTCAACATTTATATGCCCTGAACTTCTAAGAGTTTAAACTTGTACTAAAATTCTATACTATCCGTACCTTCATATTTGAACCTCCTAAGAATTAAAATTTAGGCGCTACCATGTTTTTCTATACTGGTTACATTCCCAAGTGATGTCTCTATGAGATGAAACACAGAGATCATAAATGGGAACCAGTACATTAACAAATTAACATATCTATGAATATTATATATCTCCCCAAAAGAGGCGTGGTTTGAGAAATAGCTGTATTTACAAAGTGCAACCTGAAGGCTGTTGTTAATCATTCTAAAAGTGGTTTGGATTAAAGTTTAGGGCAGAGTAGAAAGAATTCAACACTTACCAAAAAATTGAAAGTTAAAACAACTGCTAGAAATTCAAATCAAAGAAGAAATTTCTAAGAAATTTGGAACAAATTAGTAGTTAGTAATATATTGATAGTATTTTTCTTAATATCTATGCAAATTTAACATTTTTGCCCAGATTTTGTAATTCTTACCATTCAAATTGCATTCTTGAATCTTTATGTTTTGTCTCATTTATTTTTGCAGTGAAAAATATCACAACAGCAGCAACTATTACATTCAGCTTCTTAGAAGATTATGACATGTATGCTAAAAACAAAGAAGAGAAGGTTAAAAGGTAAATCCTTCCTGATTGAACATTAGTTTTACAGAGGAGTCTGATGGTGGTGGACGATGTGTTCTGTTGTACTGTCCAATATATTTGGTTATTCATGCCTGTTATCCGTTTTATTTATGTTTATACAAACTTTGTGTATGTAGTCTGTTGTTTCATATTGCATTTTGTCTTGTAGTCTTAACTTGTAGGGACTTGGATGGAGATTTGTCTCATTGGCACTCATACCACATCTTCTTATATCTATCATATTGTATATTTTCTGAAGTCCCATATAGTATGAATATAATTTCTATAGTTTTAGGAGGTGGTTGTTTAATATCTTGTGATTGTCGAGTGGTATGCAAATACTCCCTTTTTAATTGTCTAATGTCAGTGAGCAACCATTCCAGGTAACCAATTATTAATAAATAAATATTTTGAGATAAATTTTATTTACCTATCCCAAAGAACAAAAGTTTCATTATGCAAGAATGAAAAGTTTAATGATCACATCAACCTTTATTTTTACAGCTGTAAATTCAGATGTATATTGATGAGAAGTCCTGAAGTCCAATATTTAGTTCAAGTAAAACTCTACTGGTAGAGCAAATCTCAATTAAAGTCAAGAATGCAACTCACATAATTGATCATTATAGACCAAATACCAGCTCCAAACAAACTAAAGCACGTTTTACATAAGGGGCTTCTGTGTGTAAACAAAAACATAGTCTCAGCAAATCATACCGGCTCAAAGCAGAAAGATATGTAGAATGAATAATAATTTTAGTATTAATATTACTACTAATACTTTTGGCCCTTGAGAAACACTCAGCATATGAATAGAATTTTTATTTCCTGCCTGAGCAAGTCATATTGCAACCTTCAGTGTGAGGAAGAACCTGCCTGCCTGACAATGTGCCAGCCAGGGAATGTGGAGCGAGGGTTCTTCACTAGGGGATGAGACTAGGCGTCTCATCTGCAGCCAGGTTGTGCAAGGTCTGCATGGGGATAGCCCATGTGCTAGTAGAGAAGCAGGGGTCTATCAAACAGGCGCTGGAATAAATTTGTCCCCAAAATGCTTGGGGGATGAATGAAATTTTAGAAATGACCAGTGAAAAATTCCATCAAGGAAACATCAAAAAGAAAAAAATATATATCACTAGTAAAACTGCTGAGATGTTTCCCTTGTCATGAAACATTATTGAAGGTGTTAGGAAGGGGATGGCGGATGGTAAATTGAATAATAGCACTGTAAACTATATCAACTAATCAGACTGCTATGAATCAAGAAAGTGATTATACAAAGACCATGCATATGGCTTTACACACAGACTGGGTACATCAATCATATTATTATAGTGGGAGGAGACTGACCTCACTGGCATTCAGATAATATACTAATTGCAGTGTAATAAATTTTTATACGATCTGGTATCATAATCTGCATTTCCTCACCAAGAGTGATTGTTTGTGACATGTATCTGATTAAGAAAGAATAATGTGCCTCCTGGTGAAATTCCATTTATAACTTCAAAGTGTCAAATACCATAGAAATTATTCTGAAGATATAACAGGTGGTTTCTGTATGTTAAATGTATCCATGATGTCAGCATCTTTCACAAGATATAAGTTATATTTGTAAGATGGAATGCTTGTTTGTATAAACAATACTTATATTACATATAAGTAAAATATATGATTAAAAAGAATTTAAGACACACACTTCTTCATGAGGATGAAAAAAGTCTTTTTATCCAGCAGGAAATAGACGACATATATTCATTGCTACTATTAGATCACAAAGGTACTTTATTTTTCGTTGAAAAATGTTGCTACCTTAATGTCAAGAAAAATAAATACCAAATAGTACTTTATTTTTTACAAAATATTTTATTTCGTAGATTGGTCTCTGAAGTATAGGGATATACATGTACTTAAATTGCTTAAAACATATTTTCTGATTTTTTTTATATTCAGATTGATTTCCGATGGATTAAGAAAGCTTTCTCCAGACTTTTCAAGGATACTTAAGACAGTAACAGTAAGTAAGAATTTGATTGACAGATAGTTGATTGCTTAACCTCCAGCAGCAAATATATCATGAAAAATCCAGATATGATAGTTATGGAACTTATTGTTTTGATCATGATTGTTAGCATGACAATAGGATTGTGTCAATGAATCAAAAAAAAAAAAAAAGGAAATACGAAGATGAAGTATGATTGCCAAAAGACAACTCTCCCCCAAAATGACTGTCATAGTTATTTTTGGAAAGATAACTAATAAAGTGCTACAAATTGTAAAATTGTAAAACATTTTGAAAATACCACTTAATATATAAAATAAAATTTCAGTGCTGGTATCCAAATATAAAAGAGAATTTCATGTTGCTGAACTCTGCAATATCCACTTTTTCCAGTGGTTACATCAACTGTGTAGCGGTTATCTTATTGATTTTTACTGGGATGACCTTTAGGGGATCCGAAGTAATGCAGTGGCAATTTCTGAGTGTGCTTTTAATTTATTTTTGAAAATTGGTTTTGCCATGAATAGGCTTGAAATGTTTGTCACTGGTAGTGGTATTATTGATGACCACTACCAGGGTTTGTAACAAATCATGTTGGAATGTCTGTCTGCAAGGTCAAGGTCAAATCCTTGGTATATTAAGATGAAAAAACAATGGGCATGAGGAATTATTTTGTGAGCTTTTCTTGGGTACTTTTAGTTTTAATTTATCTTTGAGGGTTTACTATTGTAATATAGTATTTTTACAGTTAAATTCTTTAAAATATTTTACCATTGTTGTTATAGGTACAAAGAGGAAGTATCAAAGTTGGTGTAGAATTAGAAGCAAGTTCTAATGAGGATTTTCCACAAGTTGCCTCTCATGCTAACCTTTTGGAAAGTCAGGTATATATATTAAAAAAAAATGAAGTGTGTCAAGTCTCTTCCCTTAATAGTTATGTCCCATACCTTTTTTTGAAACATGAGATTAGAATGCTTACTGTGGATTCATTATTATTTGTGGGGGACTAATTTTCATTGGTTTCATGGATTTAGGTGAACAACGAATTTTAATGTTCAACCAAGAAGGAATTCTCTAATGGCGTGTATGCAGCCTTTTACAAAACCATGAAATTATATATCCACAAAAGTACAATTTTTCCCCAATCCACGAAAAATTTGTACCCACGAAAATAAATGAATCCACTGCATACAGTAAGTAGTAATTAGAATGTGATGGTCTGTCATAAGTAGCCTTTCATATGCACACTTAATAAAAAAAAAATATTTTACTTTTTTCAAATCATGAATATTTATCCACTTTAATAGTAATAGTGCACACTTTATATAATCATTCATGTGGACATAAAAGACTCAGAACATATGTTTTTGATGACATCACACAAGTCCAAACTTGTGCTTTTTAAAAGTTTTTAAAGAGCGTGAATCTTTGAATTATATACACTCTAAACTTACCTTTTTCCTCCTGGTAAAAAGTCACTTTCATTTGCATTAGTGGGACAAACAGAAAATATTTTTACCATCACCAACTATATAAACCTGAATTAGTTGATGATGAAGAAATATGGAGTTAAGATAGGTATTCTGATTACCTGTATAATATTTAAATTTAAAAATATAGATATGTGGTATGATTTCAAATGAGACAACTATCCACCAGAGTTCAAATGGTGTGGATGTAAGCAATAATAGGTCACCATATGGCCTTTAAAAAACCATATTATTCAATGAACAAAGCTTAAATTGACAAGAACATTTTAATTTTCAGATAAGGGATGGTTTTATTGTTGATATGGATGGTAAACTTATGACTGCAGATAAGGACTCTGTAGAAACAACCTTGACCTTTGAACCCCAGGAATCCCCAGAGAAAGCCACCAAGCTGGACGGTGGAACTATAAGTCAGAGAACCATAATAATAATTATAATTGTTGTCTGTGCTGCAATTTTTCTGCTGTTTATAATAATAATGATAGTAAGTAGTTTTTGTTGACATTGAGATGAAGAACAGCAATAAAGCGCTGTTCCTTTGCATTTTGTGTGTTTTTTGCTGTAAATGTACTAATTTTGTGTCATGGATGGATACCCCATATCCTTTGTTTTTCTATTTCTTTAATTCTTTTAGGTGAGGAATATTTTGCAAAGTGATAAATAACAAGACCAGAAAGCCTTTTTGAATAAGACTGCATGTTAAAAAACCCAGGGTTTGAAGGTTGTCTGTTGAAAGGCAAAATTCCTGCCTGTATCCAACATACCATTGCTTTCCAATGGCAGTCCATATATCCCACACTTCATCCCTGTGGTCACAATTTACAGAATCTAACTATTGAATTAATTGTTAAAAGTTTCTTGTCCTGAATAAATATTAAATAGTTGCCACTGGACATTACCCAACTAACAATCAATCAATTAACCTATTTAACATTGTAAAATCCTACTTACTGTCCATTTCCAGCTCTAATAATTATCAAAAAAGATTTTTTTGGCATGTCAAACAAAGAAAGAAGGAATATAATGATAATTGAAGAGAAAGTTTCTTTTTAAATTATTTATCTCCCTGGAAATGCATGAAATATTTTTTCACTAAATGTTAGGTAAACAATAATAAAAAATATAAGTTATATGAGTGCAGTGGGTGATAGTATCACCATGTCCAATGAAATTAGCTCATATAACACTGTTTTATAAGAAAAAAGTAAGGAAACTTTATAAAAAAAAAATTATGAAATACATTCCCCTGATTTTATTTCCATATAAGGGTGTTTCTTTCCATGCAAAAATTTTGTCTCATTGAGCAAGTTTGCTTTCAAAATTTTAACAACTGCTTAAAAAACTTGTTTAATGGCAATAGTAATTAAACTGTTTATCACTTAGTCTGTAGTTAAATTTTCATTAGGTAAAAGAACTTGTCAGGGTACCCTCTGATTTTTTTGGGTACGATTGGAATCCTATTCTTTCCTACGGCACAGGCCTCACCAGGATGTACCAAGGTTAGATTCTAAATCTACATCCTGAAAAATAGTTGCCAGTATTTCTCATGTCTTTGTAAATATAATGTGTGCACAAGTATATAACTTATTTCAAAGGTTTGTATCAGCAATATCTCAAAGATGAGGAAAAAATCAGAGCTTATATTTCTTGAAAATGTAAATAATATGAAAACAAACATTGTAAGTCTCCCATCAACGATTCACATCCGAGTCCAATGAAATTTATGTCAAAGGTTAATATTAGCAATATCTTGAAAAAGTTTGAAACGCTGTGCTGATCCTATTTTTTGGGAAGAGTTATACCCCTTTGAAATGTAAATTATATGGAAAATCAGCATTGTAAGTGATCACATACTAGCATTTGTAATTGACATTTCATCAAAAAATATTTGTAAGGTTTATATCAGCTTGATCTTAGATAGGTGAGATAGGAAAGTTTTCTTGATGAACGAATAATTGACTGCCACTCTGGTGCTTTACTTTTACAAAACTTTTCTTTCATTAGTTTATCAACCTTTCTTTTTCTTTCCTTTATTAGTTTATCAACCTTTTATTTTTCAGTGTGCCAAAAGAAGATCATCAAGAAGTAAAGAAGCTGATCTTATGACAGTTGAGGTTAGTCCATTAGGTTTATATAGTGTCATTTCTATTTGTACGGGATTTCCTTAGAAATTGCAAGTTATATTTTTACCTTATTTAATAAAATATAGCCTCTTTTTGCTGTGAGCTATTGCCATCAGTTGTCATCTTATGTTTTCCATTAAATTTTTAAAAATCATCTCCTTTGAAACTTCTTGACCAATTAGAATCAAACTTGGACTCAATTATAATTCAAAATTTGTTTGATAATCCCTCCTACTAATTAACATAGCAGACATTGCTAAAAATATACCATATGGGTAAAATGCAAGTAATTGGCTTATATCTTGAAAACTATTTTACAGGAAACTATTAGTGGCAAAAATCCTTATAATTTCACTTTCCATATTTATCAAAGTTCATGATTTATTTCAGGTACCCTATTATTTACAGAAATTCTTCTCTTGGAATTTGGCTGTAGACCATTTGCATTTTGAACACACATTTGATTTTACATTATGTGAAAAGACAAATGGGCGTAATGCTTTTAGAAAATGAAATGAAAAAATGGGTTCACCAAACTTGAGTTCTTGCTTCATAACAAAAAAGATAAATTTACTATACATGTCATTATCTAAGTTATCTCCCCTTATAAAGTACAATAAGAAAATCTGTATTTATGAAAAAGGGTCAGTTTCATAAGACTTTAGCAATTAGTCTTGCATATAAGTAGCATTAAAATTTGCAAATTTCAGTCAAAACTAGACTAAACTTTCTTTTCAGTTGTATACAATTCTGCCTTTGCCAACACAGACTATTTAGATTTTGTTATTTTCTCCCATGTTTGGTGAAAACTTAAATTTCCTTGTGTAATCTTTGTTGAAAAATGGTAGTAGGGAGTATCATCACAATGTTTAGTGTCATAAATGCTAGTTTAATATCCATTTAAAATTTTAGACAATTGCAGTATTAAGCAAAGAAATGGTACTCCATTGAAAAATTCATATGTGAGATGATAACTCATGATTGTTTTACACTTTGTAATTTAAAATAGTCAGTTTTTGAGGGGAGACTTGGGAATGGGGCATATATTGCATTCGTACAGTACTTGTTTAATAATGATGCTTTATTTTCTTTTTTACAGAATGTCCATCAACCAAATTCTTGTTATTTTAAAAACGAGGCATGTGATTTGAAAGATGAACAAGTGGATGATAAAAAAAGATGAAAAATCCTGAATTTAGATGTAGAAGATTATATTGTTTGATGAAATCCAAAATCCATTATTATGCATTGTGATATGATATTAACTTTAAGCATTTGAATGAAAGGAGGGAGATGCAGGTTTCTGTCAATGAGACAGAATCCCTACTACACAAAAAACATATTTTGATCATTTATTTTATAAATATATAATTCATTTCAAAACTGTATATATTGATAAGAAATTACCTAAAAATATTTTAAGTTCCTCTATTATTGTATGAGTGATTAGAAGGAACTCCTCGAATAATTTTGGAAAAATTTCAATTCATTTGGAAAAAAGTGGATTTGAGTATTTATATTGTTATATTGTAATTTTAGGTGTTTTTTTAAGGACAAGTTAGGTTTAAAAGGGTACAATTGTGAATACTTTGGATGAGTTATTTTCCACTTAATTTTAGGAAACTTCTTATAAAAACAAGGAGATGTGGTATGATTGCCAATGAGACAACTATCCACCCAAGTTCAAATGAAGTGGATGTAAGCAATTATAGGCAACCGTACAGCCTTAGTTTTTCTTTTATTGAAAAGGGGAATTTTGAGATTTTCATTAATTTTCTTCCAGCTTATCAATGTTTCCCTTCAATTATACATGAAGATAGTTGGATAATAAATTCTTTAAAAAAATTAAACTGATACCAAGTATACTGATTACATTTAAAATGTTAAGCAGGAAAATCGTGAATTCCAAAACATTTATATTATACCATTCCTAATGTATTATGATGCTATGGAAGTTGGAAATAAATTCAATATAAGGGTCTTCTTTTGCAAAAGGGAGGGGAGGATTTAATATTCATTTTTGTACTGGATAGTGTTTGTCTTTGTCTTTGACTTCATTTCAGTCCCAAGTTAACTTCTTATCTGCACCTTTAAGAAATTTTCCATTCAAAACTTTCATCCGAAAACACCTTATCACTTTTTGTCCGCCATTACTGGCCTTCACAGACGTTCCTGTAACATTTTATATGTCATGAAAGAAAATGTCTGACGCAACAATGCTAAACTAAGTGTTGTATGAGGTCATTAGTTCAAGTGTCACAAAATCTTGGGGTAAAGTTTAGTAGATTCCGAAATAGTGATAAGGTCTATTTAACAGTGTGTAAGAGTTGACTTAGTTTTGCATGTGTTCATATATGATATCTAATCAAGGGTATTTAACTACAATGTATGTTCATGTTATAAAGGCATTGTTTTGTTTATTTTATTATATTATCATTTTTTTAATAAATATTTTAGACTTAAATTTATTTTGTTATGTCAATTTTTACAAATTATTACACTTAAACAATACTTGGCTTTTTCATTTAGAAATTTTTTTAATATTAAAATGGGGGTTAATGATAGATTCCAGTTCAAACAGGAACCAAGCTAGCAACTTATTTTCATCATTGAATATTTTCTGGTTTTTGCCTCCCCTGCCTTGAAAGTCATAGTACTAGGTTTGACAAGGCATTACTTTTACAGCAAATGTGGCTTTATAGATTTGCAAATAATCGCAATGTTTTTTCCCCATTTTCATCTAGGACAACAAAATATTGTATAGAGCGGGTTAATGATAAATTCTCATGAGCAAGTCATTGACACATAACCTTGACCTCATTTTCATGCTTCAATGGTCAGGTTTAGCTTCTCATAATCATCAAAGGTCAATAGCATTAGTAGTACCAATTTTACTGCATCAGATACACATTTCAACAATAAATGTCTCTTCAGTGATGCTTGAGGCCAAAATGTTTGAAAACTAAAATGGACCTTAAGCAAAGGCAAATCTAAACAAGAAATCAGCTTTGCATGAGGGAGATACATTCCTCAATTTAGAATGATTTCTAAAAATTTAATAGCAAATTTTAATCAAATAAAATACATATTTTCCTGTCAGTACCGAAGTTTTGGTGGGAGAATGGCTGTTATCTAAAATTCAGACAGTCCAGTAGTCGTGATTGTCGGTTAGTCTGACAGTCCGTTAATCTGGCTGTCTGATGGTCAGACATAGGTTGGTCTTCAAGAAGCTGTTCTGTGACAGAGGATCTCCTCTTCATATAAGCGTACTAGTTTACTGTTGAATCGTGAGCAGAGTTTAAAATTTTAAAAGTGGAATGTGTTTTAATGGAATCCAAATTAAATCCTATACTGTTTGAACAATTAATCTAAGATTCCATTCCCATTCACCATGTCAATTTCGATAATTTAGGTTAAAAGCATGAAATCAAATATAGATTTAATATATAAATGAGAAAGATGTGGTATGATTACCAATGAGACAACTCATCACCAGAGACCAAATTATATAGAAGTTTGTGACAACTATAGGTTATCATGGCCTTAAACAATGAGCAAAACCCATACCACATAGTAAGCTGTAAAAAGCTCTTAAATGAAATATGTATAACAATTTAAATGAGAAAATTAACAGCATGATTAATGTACAAATCAATAAACGAAAATCAAACATGATGTACAGTAACAATTGACAACCACATAATTACAGGCTCCTGACTTGGGATAGTCACATACAGAATGCGGCGAGGTTAAACATGCTTGCTGACACCAAATCCTTCCCCTAACATGGGACAGTGCTGTAACAGTACAACATAAGACCAAACTATAAAAATCAGTTAAAAAAAGGCTAACTTGTCTTATCAATACAAAGCACGAAAAAACACTTTTACCTGGATGCTAACTTAATTTCCAAGCTCGGTAAACAACATCACCCTAAAAATTAGGATTTGCTATCCTGTTTGTAACAAGTTTTCTACAGTTAGAGGCAAACTTCGAAACCAAATCGTTGTTTCTATGAAAGAATTAAGTAAAAGGTTTTTAAGTAATTTGTGGTAACGGAATCCTTGACTAAAAAATTTACCAATAATACATAAATTACGCTCATTGAAATCCAAAACATGTCACTACAGACAAGTGCTTTGCTAACATGTTGGGATATATAAACACCGTAAGATGGTGCCAATGGACCACCACAAAGAATGATTAACAATAGGGAAGGAAAATCGTCCCTTTTGTCGTAAATCTTATGTGTAGAGTTTCCTGTGAAAAAAATGAAAAATCTACATCTAGGAAAGGACAGTTGATGATGGGAGTTTTTAACGACCTTGACTGGCTATACAGCCCTCGCACGGTCGGTAAAGGACAGTTATTGCGGTCATATTTGATTTATTTAAAGTAAGTTACATGTACTTTTGGTAAATTTCGGCAATATATTTACAAAATTCTTGAGTTATTTAAAGAAAAAATATCAAGATTTTGGTTAGTGTTATTGAATTTTATCAATTAAATCTAATTTAGACAGGTCTTTACAGAGTTTGGAAATAAAATGTGATTCATAACACAAAAGAAAAAAGTCTTCTATTAAAGGGGCGTAATTGGTGTCCATAGGAATACATACAACCTGTTGATAAAATTATTGCCAAAATGTACATAAATGTTGTCAAGGAGAACATTTACAGCTTTAATCATCTCATCATACCTCCGGTAAGTATATCTAGCATATTTACCTTTCTCATCAGAGAAGAAGGCTTTATATGAGTTGAAACAAATAAATTGTAATCAGATTTTTCAAACAACCATGTAATCAAATAGGAACATTTTTCTTTGATAAGATGGTTTGGAAGTGTAGTGTAAAAAGTTGAAAAGTCAAACCTGTTAACCGAATTAAAAGGACCATCAAAAGCACGTTATTTATCTAAAGCATCCCAAGAATTTTTTAAACTCCAAAAATAGATAATTCCACTATTTTCATATGTTTTATTACAAAAGTTAATGGTAAGTTCTTTGATAGTAGTTAAGGATCTAGTAAATAGCACTGAAAGATTAGTAGAACACTTACTTGAGGCAGAGATGAAACGATATTTTACAGTTTGTTTTTTTGTGTGTGTAGTTTAAGTAACCAATACATAGTAGGGACCTTCAAATGTTCAGACGATGCCTTAAGCTAAGATGTGGTTATGATAGGATTCTTTACGGGAGCGTCTTTTTACCACAGAACACCACAGAATACCACAGAACACCACAGAATACCACAGAACACCAAATATATACCACAGAACTTCGAAATATAAATACTTCAGACATTATATTATTGTTATTGTTAATTCTTTTTATAATTTGACATTTAATTTTTCTTTAGGGTCGACTCACTATCGCTACGCCCCAAACTGAATTGGCCTATTACTGGGTCTATACCAAAAACACCTACCGGTATTAAAACAAATGTAATTCTGGGGTATTTATCGTTGTAGTTGTCATTTTTGTTTAATTTTATGTTAAGAGTTGATACAATATGAATAAGTACATGTATATTGTTAAATATTGAATAATAGTCCATGGAAAACGTTCTCTGACAACACTAGCTGCAACTGAGATGGACATCACAAACTAGTAAATTAGTTTGGCTTTTGAAACACTGAATAGATTCTTGATACACTTGATGCAGTTCAAAACCAAATACTGTCGGCAAGTCAGATGAAATTTGTATACACATACTTTACTTGAGATGAAATAAAAGTCATTGGACAATATTTCAGATTTTTACATAATTTTGTATGCATTTAGAAATAGTTGAACTGCATCTAAATAATTAAAAACTAGCATATGAAGCATTACTATATAGATTCTATATTTTTGAGTCCAAAATGATGATCTGAGCGAGTTCAACGGCACATTAAAAGAACAAAAATCTAATTAGATTATCTAATTTTGACACTCGTCGTAATCACCAATTCATCAAGCCAATTAACATGTCATTTAAGTTTTCACACCCGAGACATCAAATACATTTAATTGGGTGTCTTCCTGCTATTCCTTCATTTTGAAAATAAATATTCCTTCTATTCCAATCTTTCAAAAACAATGGCAATGCTTAATTCGACTATAGTGCCGTTTGAACAATATGAGTTTTAATCAGTTAAACAGAAAAGTTTTCATATGGACAGACATTATGAGTAAAAAACACAAGTGTATAAAAAATTGGAATTTTTATGTAACGAAAACATTTTCTGAGTGTAATGCAGAACATTTGTGTAACATTACAGAATATGTTCATAGTACTTCAGTTGTCAATACTATTATGTCAAAAATGTTTAGTAAATATGTTGAACAGTGGCAATGCAATTTACAGTCAGAGAAAGCTTTATCTGGTAAGGTGGTAACAAACTTCGAAAATATAATTTATTTAAGAACAGTTTTGAAACGGAAACTTATTGTGCAATTCCAATGTCATTTTCACAAAGGAGTTCTTTTGTCAAATTTCGATGTGGTGTAGCACCACTAAGAACCGAAACAGGGAGATTTGAAAAATTACTTTTAGAGGAGCGAGTCTGTGATAGTTGTAAGGATATTTTAGAAGATGAAGCCCTTGTTATTTTATCGTGCCCTTCAGTTATATGACAATTTTAGAAAAGAATTATTTGATGAAGACATACATTTTAATAGTGATTTTATGTCTTTTGATGATAAACAGAAATTAGTGTTTTTATTTGCAGATGTTAATATGATTTTTATGAAATACAGTTTAGTATCTCTACCTAATAACAAAAAAAGTTATGATCATTAAAGAAATTTATATCTCATCCGGTCAATCGTCCCGTCATTAGTGTAGCCCGAATTATAAATATAATATAATTCTGAATTATTAGTTTTGCATTTTGTAAAGTAATTCAATGTTCTGTGGTATATTTTAGTAGTTTTATTGTATTTTGTGTAGTTCTGTGGTATATTTTGGGTGTTCTGTGGTATTCTGTGGTGTTCTGTGGTATTCTGTGGTGTTCTGTGGTAAAAAGACGCTCCGGATTCTTTACTATAGATATGACTTTATGTGAGGCGCACGTACCTGAATGTGAAATGATATATAATTTCATTCTAAAGAACCGTGTAGTATTTACGTCATACCATAATATATTATATGTCTATTACTGGCTATAGAATCAAGATACAGGACTATGCACACATGCATGGTGAGGAAATAATATAAGTTGTAATGAAATACTTAGGAACATTTTAAAGAATTTGATTGAAATTAAGACATTATTTTACAATTCAATTTACAACAGTCCTGTGTTGACAATAAATATTATTTTATACGACCATTTTCTCAGTAAATTTACAGTTTTAAAATGTTGGATTAATCGTAACACTTAGGTTTTTCTAATCTAGGCATTCATGCATCTGGTCTCGTCTGTTTTGGCACAACGGTTTTGTGCTTTTGGTTTTAAATGCTCTTAAACTCCGTATTTG